ACGGCGGCTCTGTACCTGCTGTCCCGCTGTACCCCTCCACCTTCAACTTGTAGCGAGTCTTGGCATCCCCCACGCTGAATCTGTCGTAGACGGCGAAGGCTGTCTCCCCGTGGTCCCGCAGGTCCACCCGGAGCTCGTACTGCCCCTGGGCTGTGATTTTGCTCAGGTTGTCCAGCCCTGTGGACGACAGGCAGGGGCTGCTACAAAGCACCGGCGACTGAGGCCATCATTTCTATTTCAAGAGCAGCAGCTCAGTGCACTGGAAAGAGGGTCATGTCGCACAGCCCTGGGCTCGAAGTCTGCTCTGCTCCTTGCTGGTACTACACCAGGCCAAATGTGCGATGTTTCTGAACCTCGGGTAAAATCGGGTTGACATCTTTGCCCTACCAACCTCCCAGTGTATCGTGAAGACCAAAGGAGATGAGCTGGTGGAAGTACTGTTTAAACTCTAAAGCTCCTTGTAGTTGAAACGCAGCGTATGATAGCAGGATGGACATTCCCTGGCCTGGCCCCCGCAGTGGCATATAGAACAAAGGTCCGTGCAGGTAGGAGCTGGAAGTGGGAGTTGCGTGGATAAATGGATAGGTGATGGTGTGCTGCCTTGGGAGATTTCAATTGCAGCTCAACTGCTTATTGGCTAGATTCCTATGGGGGAGCCACTCAGTCTCTCTGAGGCTCTGGTTCCTCATGTGCAAGGTGGGATTTAGCACTTTGCAGGGGTGCTATGAGGGTTAATGGTTATGGCTATGGTGTACTTAGAGCACGACCTGGGGCGTGAGAGGGAAGCAGTCAGTGATATCAGTGAGGATAAGTCTGTGAGTGGTTCAGCAAATGACTTAAGGCCAGGTTAACTCTTAAGGCCTGACTGTTGGCTCTTGCGTGATCGGATTGTTATTTTTAATGATTCAGAGCATCTACTTAGTCTTTTCCATTAAGAATTCGATATTCTGTGTCTGCCACTGGAACTAGTGTTTCCTCCTAACCTATTTCTTTCCCATAGGTCACTGTGGGTTAGGAAAAATGACGAAGAGGGCAGAAATAAGCAATTTAGACACAAACGTGCAGGGCTGCATTACCGAGCCAGAATTCCTCTCTGCGGTCCCCGAATCCAGCCACATAGGCTTTCCAGTTTCGGTAGAAGTCCTCACGTCCGTTTTTGCGTCTCAGGAACACCTGTAAACATATCAATGAATCAGCGCACTCAAGCTATCGCAGGAAAGAGAGCACATCTTTCCTAGAGGAAGGAACATCAGACTGTGGGAAGAGCACCAGTCCTCAGCTCTACCTGTCACTAATTTGCCATGTGACTTTGGGCAGGTCACCTCTGCTCCCTAAGCCTTGGTGTTGTCACCTGAAAAACAAGGATTAAAAATACTACCCAGCTTTGGGTGATAGTGGTGTGTCAATGTAGGTACCTTGATTGTAGCAAATGCACCCTCTGGCGCAGGCACTTGATGGGGGGGGGTTGTGTGGGTGTGTAGGGGGTGTACATGAGAACTCTCTGTACTTCCCACTTCATTTTGCTGTGAACCTAAAACTGTTCTAAAAAATAAAGTGCATTAATTAAAAAACTACTACCCAGTGACTATGGTAATGAAGTTGGAATAATTCATGTAAAACTCTTAGCACAATGCCTGGTAGATAATAAAAGCTTAGTCAGTGCTAATTAATATAAGTAATGGATTCAATGGTCACTGTCATTTATACATCACAGAGTTGTTAGATGAGGACTGGATGAGATAAATTACAAGAGAATTCTTTGCCTCCGTGTTTTTTTTTCTTTTTAAATCCCTGGCTTCTTTCCCATTCTTTTATTTAAGAGAGAATTCCTGGGTGCCTCCCTGTGACAGGCAGTATCTTGCAAAGCCTCATGTGCATCGGTGTCAGGTGTCAGAGGGCATCAGTGCAGGGATATAACCTTGCCCCTCCCCTCCCCCTCCGCCCCTCTCCCCGCTTCCCCCAGCCCCCACCCCAGGCCCTCTGCCTTCACTTCCCAGGCCTGAGAGCTCTGGACTTTCTGTGGATACTCACGATCCATCCACCTCCGTCGGAGGTCATGTCACAGTAGACTTCTAGAGCCTGGGCCTTATCGCCGTTCAGATAAATGGTGTAGAGGCCAGAGGTCGTGTCTCCATTCAGCATTGCTTGGGAGCAGTCCCTGGGGAATGGGTATAGGAGTCCAACTGTGAAATAAGGAGAAATAGTGACCTCTCAGAGCAGGAGGACTGGGGTAGGAGCTTTGACACTGCAGCTTAACTGTTTACGGGCCAGAGTCCTGGGGGCAAGCAGCCTAACCTCTCTGAGTCTCTGCTCCCTCATGCAAAAGACAAGAATAGACTGCTCTGGGGGGCTATGAGGCTTGGAGGTTTTGGACATGAGGGACACATCTCAGTCTCTTATACTGATAGAGGCATCAGTGATACCCGTGGGAGGACAGCAGATCTGCTGTGTGGGGCACGTGTCAGGGTGACCTGGAACCACCTGGAGTAGCCAGGCACACCTGATGCGCACCCGATGCGCACCCATGCACTGGCCGGATGGATGGCTGGGTTTCTAGCACATGGTGGGCCGCTCACTGCAGATTGGGGCACTCTATTAGGGTACAGGCTGCTTTGAGAGTCTGATAAAAGCCTTGGATATTTGAGCTCCCCAGAGAAATACATTTCAATCCACAATCTGTATGCATCTTAGTCTCTGCAGAGGATTCTGAGGCAAGAGTTCTAGTCCTGAACATGCCGCTTGCTTGCTATGTGACACTGGAGATGTTATCTCACTGCTCTGAGCCTGGGAATCTTAGAAAGATGAAACAAGAATTCCTGGAGAATTTCCAAGGACAATAATATGATGCAAAAAAATTAAAACACGATAGACATGGACAATCTTGGGGCTGTGCTTAGTAGATGGGCCTGAGAACTGATGGTCACAGCAGTTCTCTTTTCTGATCCAACAGCACCTCCACGTTCATCTGAGGTTGCATCACGTGCTGTTTTCTTGCTTATTTTACAGGCCTAGTACAAGAGCATCTTCAAGGCACACTCATAGTTTTGTGTTCTTAGCCTGGCATAAGATCTGGCAGAGAGGAAGCAGGTGCGTGCAGAACGAGTGTCCCCAGCGAGTGGCGCAGGGTAGGGCTCTGCAGAGCCTGGCTCCTCCCATCCTCAGGAGTGGATGCTGCCTCTTATTCACCGATGGAACAACCTGCATGTTCGCCATCTGCCGAAGACGCGCATGGCAGGTGCAGGGGAGGCTCCCTGGGCTGGGAATACCTGAGTCTAACTCTGACTGTAACTCACAGGGTAGCCTTGAGCAGGCCGTTTAGTCTCTGGGAGCCTCCATTTCCCCATCAGGAAATCGGGCATGATAATCCTGACCCGCCACACCAGCTTGGTGGGAGGACCATTTGTGATTTTGAATGTGGACAGGCTTTGTAAACACTGACATGAGAAAGGAGAAGGGAAGGGATGTTGAGCTCATACTGAGCCCTGGCAATAAAAGGACCACACACTTATATACATGGGCCACGTACTGGGCTAGGAGTCCAAATACAATACCTGTTAACCCTCACAAGGTCCTTTTGAGGAGGGGATTGTTATTAATCCCATTGTATAGATGAAGAAACTGAGGATTATATAATGAAAGCAACGTTCTTAAAGCACCCAGATCAAGTGATGACAATGGGGACTGAATCTGGATGGGCTCACCACTGGGATGCTCATACCCTCCTGCACTCACTTTCTTCAGGCTTCCAAGTAGTAGCAGAGAATGGATTCTTTGCAGAAATTTGTTTGAAACATTTAAAGTAGAAGTCAAAGGGGAAGTAGAGGGTTGATTCAGTCAACATTAGATCTCAAGGTCAGACTGCACCCCACCCCCTTACTTGTGGTGAAGATGGTCTGGACTAGCTTGCTCCTCAGGGGCCCATTTAACGCCTGGATCTTGGCTGTGTAGTGTGTGGATGGGCTCAGGTCTGTCAGGCTGTAGGAGGTGGTGTCTGGACCCAGAATGACTTCCTAAGGGCAGAAGAAAGAATATAATAGTTTTGGTCACAAAAATTCTTACAGTATAAATGGGAATTCATTCTATTCATTCATTAATCCCCTCATCCATTCATTTATTCATTCAACAAGAACCCAGTGAGTGCCCACTCTGAGCCAGGATCCATGTGCACTGTTGGGATATCAGAGATGGGGAGAGTGCAGCATAGACAAAGGTCCTGGGGCCAGAGGAGGCAGAGCAAGTCAAAATAACATGAGGAAGCAATAACCTCCCTAAACTGTACTTAGTTTTAGGTGGCGGAGCAGTGGAAAATGTTACCAGATTATGAAGGACCTTAAATGATAAGCTTTGAAATCTGATGTCTATCATTGTAAGTGAGGAGTCCTGAAAATTTTCAGTGCCGAGCTTTGGAACTTGAAGTTTAACATTATAAGAAATGGTTTCTGAACAAGTGAATGACATGAACCTAGCTGTACTTTAAGAAGATCGATCTGGTGGCAAGATGACTTACACAAGGGTAAGAGACTTTGAGGCCAGGTAGGCCAGTGCTCCCCAGATATAGCTTTTGGTCACAGCCCTCTAGGAAGCTTTAAAACAACACGATGCCTGGGCCCCATCCCAGACTGCCTGAATCCTCGTAGCCAGAGCTTGGGCCTGGCTAGTTGTACATTTAAGAAGCTCCCAGATGATTCAGATGTGCAGTCAGTTTGATGATCTCTTGAGTCAGGAGATGATGATTATAACAGCTCGGTAGGCACGGCATGATGAAGGTGCCAGCTGACCCAGTGTGTCTCTCTTCTGGAACAGAGGTATCTGTGAGAGACAGTTGCTGGTCCACAGTGACTATACTTACAGTTTGAGCCTGGTCTCTGTACTGATGTCCAGAGGAGGTGATTGGTTTAAGTTTGCAGAAACCAATCTTTTCAAATTCTCTTACTAGCTTCTGATTCTTTTTAGTAGATGACCTTGGTGTCTGGGATTGGAATTCAACCTACGCTCCTAGTAAACCAAACACAACAACCTGTGTGCTCCCTACAACCTGCAAACACGACTGCTTGGGTTTAGGCAGTAATGAGTCCGTGTGGGGGCCCCTGGAAGGTTACCCCGTGTCCTGTGACTGGGGAGGTACCTCATCCCAATTTTCCCAATGGGGGAATTGAGTTTCAGAGCAGCTAAGAGTCTTGCTCTCACTCCATAATTGGTCGGTGGCAGAGGATAATCGTGCACCCTGTCCAGTGCTCTTGTCTCCTACATCAGTTGATTTTTTTTTTTTGTTTGTTTAAGTGACACATGTAGAGCTGGGGATTGGACATGCAGGAAAGTAAACTGAGGTGAGTGCCCATTTAATACCCAATGGCCTTTGTACAGCCCCCAGTTCTGGTCCCTGGGGAAAGGATCAACTGTCAGGTACACAGTTGGACTCATTGAATTACTTGAGGATATAGTTACCTGTCAGCTCTCTGGGCTGCTGTGCAAAGTCATTTTCTAGGCAATTAGGGGACCCTAGATCAAAATGAAACTCATGATTCAGGTAAACACAGAATTCTAGAATGCCTGACCTGAAGGGAACCTCAAAGATGGGTGAGTCGAATGCACTCATTTTACAGATGGGAACACTGACACCCGGAGAAGATAAAGGACTTGCCTCAGTTCACAGAGTGAGTTAGTTCATTGTTATACTACTCCAGGAAGGGCCAGGATAGTAACTAGAAATATGCATCCACTCTGGCAAAACATGACAGATTAGACATGGCCATGTATCTCTACTTGCTTCTGATACCCACTAAAATGAGGCAAAGGAACATAAGGTATAAATCCACAAAGGTGAGGGGTGCAGGAGAGGAGACAGCAGATCTTCTCAGTAACAGATCTCGGTAGGTGGAAAGTGGGTGGCAGAGAGACCACGGAGGGGGCAGGATGGGGAGAGCCAGGGACAAACTAACAGCTGCAGGTGGAGCCAGGCAGGGCTGGCTGGTGCACACCAGAATCCAGCGAATTCAGCAACGGAATGTGCACAAAAGCAAAGACAACTCTGAAGGCCAGTGTGGGGTGTGACTGAACAAAGCTCAGGTTTGTTTAAACCCTTGGATCTCCCCATCCTGCCCCTTCCAACAGTCTAGGTGACTGTTTTTCCCCATCCAGATGGCAAGATGAAGTTGACTCTCTGGAGAGGTTGAGCCAGAGAGGAGGTTCTGGATTCAAATCCACCAGATTTAGCTGTCGGGGAGGCGGAGGTGCTACAATGGAAACATAAAATGAACCGGTGGTTTGTACACAGTGAGAGCCCAGGCTTTAGGGCACTGATATTTGGGGGTCCCCCAGCAAAATTGCTGGGTACTTGCCTAATCATTGTAGTGAGCCCCACATTGACAGGCCCTGCCTGTGTAGTTGGAACTCCCAATCAGCTCTTTCATTCTTGGCTTGAGGACAAAAAGACAGACCAGGACCAAGAGACATTGAGTGCAAGTCTCCAACATGACAGCGGAGACCCAAGCCAAAGCAAACCAAACCCAACAACAGCAGCAGGACAAAGGCACTTGGAAGAAACACTATGCAGGGTATAGAATAAAATACCAATACCAATATAATTCTTGGAGAGCAAGAGATGATACGCAAAACACAAACAAGGTGCTAGGGAAAGATGAATGTGCAGAGAAGAAATAAAAGATCTTGGGAATATAGCTGAAACAAAAAAAATGCAATAACAAGTTTAGAAGGTAAATTTTAGAAAATCTGTTTCACTTGTTTGAAGGTCTAAAGTTATTTAAAATTAAGAAGTAAAAGAAAAAAAATTCATGGGTAGAGAATGCAAATAGTGTTAACAATGGATATAAACATTATTAGCAGTTGATGTCACAAGGACATGGTAAAATGCATTGCAATATGTAAGGTAATGACACCGATACCACCTGTGAGAAAATATATAAGGCAAAGATACAGAAGCTACTCTTGGTCTTTGCTCACTAAAATATTAAAGGACCAAGAATCCAGCTCCTAAAATGTCTTCAAGTCTTGTAAGCAGTGGTTCTTGATCTTGGCTGACTATCAGAAGTAAAGTCTGCTTAAAATGAGAGAGGCCGGACAGTATGATTCAGAAGGTCTGGCGTGGAATCCAGTCCCTACTAACTTTTCTCAGCTTCCCCGTTGCCCTGGGGTAGAACAACAGCATCGGGTAATTCTTCCCTAGTTTGAAGACCATGCAATGTTTCAACCAGCAGTCGGGAGTTGTTATGTATTTCAAGATACCTTGACTGTACCATCCACGGATTCATAGACCAGGAGGTAACCAGTGACAGATGCCCGGGGGGGTCGCCAGGTGAGCAGGGCAGTTTCTGACTGAACCTCAGTAGCGGCCAAGTCTCGTGGAGAATCGAGGTCTGGAGAAGGCAAGATAATCGGTATCAAATGAGTCAGCAAGTATAGGACTGAAATCAAGGCTGGGCATCCACAGGACAGGGTTCAGGTTTCCCCACACCTGACCTACATGACCTTGGGCAAGAACCTTCCCCATGTGTAAATGAGGAAGTTAAGCCACGTGATCTCCAAAGACAAATTTTCTGTGGTTTATCTCATTCTAAGGGCTGAGTTTTTATGAGCCCAACATGGTCCTGATTGGCCTGGGTTGGATTTTGCAGAAAGATACAGCTGTGAACACCATGACCCCACCCCCCGGGTTTCTAAATAAATGGACAGATGGATGCTACTATCAGCACTCACCCCGACTGAGAGGCCTGTTCCTCCATTTCCCTGCTTGCTACAGTTTGTAAAAAGGTCTCAATGTATAAAAACCCGATGAACATCTAGGAAAACCTGACCGAAAAATTCTTCTCTTCAAAACTATTTCCCCGCCTGGAGCATGGATCATTAAATGCTGACTTTAGGGCCAGTGGGGAGTGTTTTTCCACTTAAAAAGCCCTCCTCTTCAAATCTTTTCCTCATCTATGGGGAGCACAAGGTCATTTCAGTTCAAAAGGAAATGGTGTGTTTCTCCAGGCCCTGAGGGAGCGGGCACTGGTGGAGTTAAGTGATGCTGACGTCATCGCATGGCAAGGGCCTGACTTAAGACGGAAGAGTTGGCGAGGGGTTGCCGTCTGAGACACGGGCTGTGGGTGGGCGTCTCCGAAGGGAGAGCATCCAGCCCTCACGTCTTGGTACCTGTGGTGAACTTGGTCGCGATGGTTGCGCTCTTCTGAGGCCCTTTCTCGGCGAGGATTCTCAGCGTGTATTCCGTGGCAGGCTCGAGGTCGGTCAGAGCGTACTCCACCGTGTTCCCGGACACCGTGCGTGTAATTTCTGGCACTGAGCACGAAACACACATACCGAGGCAGTTACCTCTGGCTGTCTGAGCCGTGAGCGGACTTGGCACACGGCACACACACCTCCTGCTAACACAGAAACTTTCAGTGACCCTGCGGAAAAGCGGGTTTGATTTCTCAAATGACTCACGCCTCTTTCTCTCTCTCGAGCGCTCACCTCATATGTAAAGGATTTATCACACGGAGACTGGATTTTTCCAGGCACCGACTCAGAAGGAAGGGGACTGGAGACTTTTTTCCACATGGTCCTGGCTGGGAGAGCGTCGCAGCCGAGACACAGGACCCAGCTGGATGAGAGCTGTGGGTGACATCCCCAAGCCTCGCGCTGCCCAAATTTAATTTGTCCCTTTGCTTGCTCTCCTTCTGTGTCACTTACTCACATTTCCTTTTATAAGTTACCAAATGGTTCAAATCATTAGGCTGAGGCGGAGACCAAGATGCCGCAGCTGTGGACACACCAGACCCCGGTCACTGCCTCTCAGCCCACTGGGTCACATGCAATGGTGGAAACCAAACCACGGTGCCCAGGTGCATGCATTTATTAATATTTCCTAATCACAGGTGACCGACCATCCTGGCTTGCCTTTACCTTGCCTTTACCTTTTCCTGGGTGTGGAACTTTTAGTGCTCAAACCGAGAAAGTTCCAGGCAAACTGGGACAAGTCCGGCAGCTTTCCTCATCATCTGTGAACCCCGCCCCCGCAGCGACCCTCCTTCTGGACTAGCCCTTGGTTAGCCCTGAATCCACAATTTCCACGATTCCCATGAACTATATTCTGATTTATTTTAGACGAGGCAATACGATATTCCCTGATTCGGACGAGTTTGCTCACAAGGAATATTTAACAATTAAAGAGTAAATAGAACAATCCCAGCATTCCTCCTGCCCTCACCCCACCTTTGCTCTGCCCTCACGAAGAACTCTCTCGGGAGGTTGCCAGGGCTGAGTTAAAATTCGCAGAGGCCCCAGGCACGGATTATGGTGCCCTCTCATATCGTCCCTTGAAAGCAAAACAATACTGGCCCATAAAATATGAAACTTTCCTATACTTGGAAAAGAAATAGCAACATTCTTTCTAGAGTAGCTCATTATAAAATTATGGATGAGTTCGTTGAAAAGGGCTATCTGGTTGTCCTCTCTCTTATTTGTATTTGGTGTTCCTTTCCAGTGGCTGTGGATTGCTGATGCCCTAAGCAAGTGTTTAATCTGCCAACGGAGTAAATTAGCACAGGTGGCTGCAAAAAGAAGGGTGAATAATTTCTTAGTTTTTAATCAGATTTTCTACCACTGGTCTTTCGTGTGGCCTCTGAGATGCTGAGGCTCCCCAGTGCTGCCTGAAACAGTCTGTTTGAGATTGAGATTCTAGACTTCTTTGTAAAGGATGAGAGCGGCTTCCTAGAGAGGGTGTCCCACACTGATAGGTAGAAAGACCAGCAGGAGAGGGGGCATTGGCCAGGAAAACACGTGGAGGCTGGAGATGTACTTTTTTCCCCTTTAAATGGCCTACTAAACTCCCTGGGGGTTGCAACTGGGAGCCACGAGGACATTACCGGCCTTTCCAAACTACTCATGCATTTTTGTCATCCTGTACCAAATGTGGCACAGAGAAGGAGGAACAGCAAGAGTTTACAGAAGCACAGACACTGCTCAGGGTGGGGAGAGCCTTGGGCAGGGCCTTACCTCTTTCCCCTGTGTAGGAGATTACATAACTGTCCACAGTGGCAATGGCCGGCTGCCACATGGCCAAGGCGGTCGAGTCGGTGATGTTGGCTGTCACCAGGCCGGAGGGGCCATCCAGAGCTGCAGAGAAAGATGGCAGGAGAGGGGGAGCTCATGGGGCAGGACATCAGACCCCAGCTGCTCTGCTGTCCACACGGCTTATGGACACAGTGCCAGCTGCATGGGTCAGATCAGAGTCTTGCGCCGGAGCCTGGTGACCTGGCTTTGAGTCACGACTCCTTGCCCGGCCGGATGAGTTACCTTGGGTCTCTCTTTCCTTACCCATAAAATGGGGACAATACTTCTGGCTAGCTTTACCCTCAGTGTTATTTTTATTTTCACATAATATTATGGGTGGAAAGAGCTGTATAAATTGAAAAAGGCTGACCACATGATAAGGATCATCATTATAGTTCATATCACTTTTCCCAGGGAAAGAACCTACACAAACAGAGGAGACATACGTGGTTAAGACTGCCTGAGGCTTTTCTGGGCTTTGAGCGACAGCTCTGCTTAGGTGGCTTGTAGATAATAAGGAGCCAGGCTCTAGAGGCCAGTGGTCCCGGGTTCTACCGTGGCTTCTCTGCCTGGTGCTCCTGTGCCCTGGGGAAAGTCATTTCCCTTCTCCAAACCTCACTTTCTTCAGTGGTCAAAGGGTGGCTGCTATAAAGACTAACTGAACAATGTATGTTCAATCTGCTAGAGGAAGCTCTCCGTAATTGCAGTTGTTATTGATATGTCTTAGGTATGATTTTCAAATGTCCTGCAAAAGGATGGATATTCAAAGGGTATTTCTTTCTGGCCTCTTTTAACTGACTGCTGCCTCTACTACCCAACATCCCTTTCTTAGAAGCTAGTCTGAATGTGACTGTTTCCCCTTGGTTTTGCAATTACTGCTCAACCAATCCCAGGCCAGCCCTGGGAAGATGGAAGGCAGCTGTCCTCAGCTCATTTCTCAGATGGGACATCTGAGCCTTGAGACAAGATAGCCGGCCCTAGAGTCAAAGTGTGGCACAGTAATTTTGGGAGCACATATGGTCCGCTCTGAGCTCCTTCCTGTTCATTTTGCATGTACAGAATCTCCTTTAACTGGTAAAAACAATGGGCCCTGGGAGGAACCGCATCCAGCTTTTGCAATCTGCTGCCGTGGAGAATCCACTGATGAAAGATTTCTTTGGGGAAACAGGGCCTGTGAGGCAGGGTGGACAGGACTCTGGGATTGGATGGGATGTTTTAATTGCATATTGTCAACTCTTTCAAGCTATGAGGATATTTTAAAAATGTCCTATGAGTTCTATTCTTTGTATGCCTTAATGAATTGGACTGGATGATTGCTCATGTATCAAAGGATAAATTGTTTAGAGACATGGCTGTCTGAAGAGAAATTTTCCACTTCATTCTCCTTCAATGCGATTCATTATTTCTTCCTCTTAACAGTGTACTGCACAAATCAGGTTAGAGTAGGAAAATAGCCCTTTATTTTAGAAGAACACAGGGTTTGGAGTCAGACTGATCTATGTTCAAATTTGGTTCCAGCATTTACTAATTATGTGGGTATTTCATTTCCCCAGGCCTCAGTTGTCTCCTCTGTAAAATGGGGATGATAATAGCTGTGGGGATTAAATGTGAAGGGTTCAGTAGCCACAAAATGGAGAATAACTACTTTGTAGCCATCACCACTACATGCCCACGTGAAGCACCTGCTTTGGGGACCCTCCCAGTGGTCCCGGGAAGAGCAGCTGGTGGACTAGCTTGTACAGTTATTTACATCTACAGATGTTTCACAGATACAGTTTCATGTGATCCTTACTTCGCCCTTCCAGGGGAGCAGCATTGTACCCACTGTGCTCTATAAAATGACAGGGAAGGAAACTGGACCCCAGAGAAATGAACTGACAGCTCATGCAGCTGGGCTTTGATCCAGGCCAGCATGACTCTAAAACTTGGACTCTCTCTTTCACAATAGTCCAAGAAATGGAGGCCCAAAGAGGTTAAAGGATGCTCCTAAGGTTCCCCAGCTCATGAGGCAGGGGACGAGCCAGAAATGAGGCCTTTGGCACTCTACATCCAGGCCACTTTCCACGAGGATTTTATAAATAAAACCTTCTTATTTACCCAGCTACTGAGTCATGGGCCATAAAGCTGAAGGTGAGAAATACCGCAGCATGCACAGGTGACCTCTAAAAAACGGACGCCGAGAGCTAACACACCTGTGGTGAGCAACCCTGAGACGGGCTCGCTCTCCTCGAAGCCCTTCATGGCAATGACGTTGACGAAGTATTCCACCCCAGGTACGAGCTTCACCAGCCTGGTCTGGGTCTTGGTTCCATCCACAGTTACTGCTGAGGGTGTACCTGGAACAGAGTACAAGCAAGATCGGGAACAGTGAACCTCACTGAAGCTTACTCACCACTCTCCAAGATCTGGTGTATCTGATTTGGAAATGAAACCGTATCTTTATCCAATGCCATTCTCTTGACTTCTCATTTGCTCCTACCCTCTGGCGTAAGGCAAGAGGCCTTCCTTTTTATATAATGCTTTTTCCATTGGTGCAGATGCCAAAAACGAAGCCAGGAGAGGAAAAAACATGAAGTCACAACATACTAAAAATGGCAAGTTTCCGCTCAGTAAAGAACTGGCATGTGGTGCAAATTTTATTTCCTTTTTTTTTTTCCCCCACAAAGAATATGGGAAGTTCACTGTGTCATATATATCTGATCTATTTATCCTATTGTCTTGACAGTTATACAGACTCCCTTACTAGCGTAAATTCTACTTAAGGAAAAAAGAGATGATCATAGTCAAGTACGTGTTCTATTTATTAAAAGGTCTAGAATTTATATTTCTTAGAATTTGGGGGGTGGTGAAGAGCTTGCACATCAGGTGATCAAACACCCCACAGAGATGCTACAGCATTCCTGTGAAGAGGTCGTCAACCACCCTCTCTTCACACACTTCCAGTGACAGCATACGACCTGCCGACTGTCTTTGACTGTTTCCTCCCCACGGTCTCTATTACAGCCCATGTGCTTTGAACTAGAACTCACAGATCTTCTAAGTCACAGCTCCCCCTTCCATCCTGAGACAGACAGATTTGGGCACCCAAAGGTAAAACCTCGCATATATCCAAGACTGACTTTTCAAGTGAGTGTGCTCAGAGATAAAAAGGCCAATGTATTTAAGGCCTTTTGTCATCAGGAGCAAACAATATTGGAGATTTATTTCTCATAGAATTTTAGAATTTCAAGGCTGAAAAGGGTCTTCTTAAAGTGACCCTTCACAAGATAGTTTCTTCTAAGGATCTCAGAGTGCTTTACAAATGGGGTCACTTCCAATGGTCTTAAAAATAAGGAGGCAGTTTTCTGTGGCCATGATGGTTGGGGGGCTGGGAATTATCAGGGTCTCTTTCATGATTCCATCCAAACCTTCCACACTCCTCCTCTCCCTCCCCTCCTTGAGTCTCCTACCTCCTGTGATGGGCACATAGGTAACCCGGAAGCTCTCCACCTGGGCAGTGGGTGCCATCCAGCTGACAGTAGCTGAGTCTTCAGTGATGTCCGAGAACATGATTTCCTTCGGGGAGCCCATTGCTGTCAAGGATAAAACACAAGAGAAACCCAGAAACAGTTGACTATCTTGTTCTGGTTCTTTCTGAATGCCTTTCCTAGGAAAACTCAGTGCCTTGGGTTTGCGTCCGAGCCGAGTCTCTAGCATGGAGAATGCGGTAATCTGTAGTCAAGTTGTGACTTGACAGAAACAATTGTTCTTCCATTTCAGGTACAGAGCCCAGTGATTTAGTTTCATTTAAGGAGACTGTTAGCACCACAGCTGGCTTTAAGGAACCGAGGGAGGGTGATTTCACAGATTGGAATACACCCTCCTTTTATTTTGATTTTTAGCATTTTTTCAAATCTTTGCTTTCTAGTTCCTTTTATTAAATAACACCAAGACTTGACAACTGTATAGTTCTTTGAAATTTATAAGGCTTAATTTATACAGAATTAAGAAACCCCCAAGAAGAAGATGTGGTTGCAGCCATTTTACAGAGGATCAGACTGAGGCTCCATTCTCCAAGGAACATTCTTGTGATGTTTCCTTTCTGGGCCCCAGGACTAGGCAGCAGAGCTAAGCACAGCCTGGGATCCTGGAAATAAGGTTCACATGAAAATTGACCTAGATAAACCCACTCTTAGAACTGGAAGGAGGTCCAAAGTTAGGGGAGCAACCTCAGGCCATCACCAAAGCAAACACCCATGGACTCTGGGGCTACCTGCGGGAAGCCGTGCCTAGGGAAATTTCTGCTTCCTAAATACCTCCCCCTTCCCCACCCCCGCAGAACCTGGTTTCCTTTGGCTTTTCTCTGTGTATTTTTTGGCTTATATTTTTGCCCTCTTCAGCTGACCATTCTTAACCAGGGAATTCAGGAAACAATTTTCAGGCTCTAGGGAGCTCAATTCCTCATCTTTTCCCCTCTCCAACCCACATTGATCATTAAGTTCTGAAACCCACAGAACTTTGGTGAGGGTTTTTTTTTTTTCTTCCCATTTCTGTTTTTTCATCTCATCCAAGATGTATCCTCCTACAGCATTCTTCAGTGACCTGGTAGCCACCCCCAGACTCTGTGGCTGCCTGAGTTTTTGCCCTGTCCATGGAAATTTGAGAAACCGCAGGGTCTCTGGAGCATAGAAGATCTTAATTGTCCAAATACCATTGAGAGGCTGGGTGACCTGGGGCAGGTCCCTTCACTTCTGTGAGCCTCAGTTGCCCTGTCCGGTGGGAAAAGTGGTACCCACCCACCGGAATGTTTTGAGGATTAGCAGAGATAACAAATGTGAAACCCCTAGCACAGCATCTGGCATGCAGTAAGAATCCAGTAAATATGATGACCCTTTCTTTATTTTCTTTCCCATGTGATTCTTTCCTCCATGGGCCACCCTGGATCTTAAAGTATCCGTTAGGAAAGACCTAGATGAAGCCAGCTGAGAAAAAAACCCAGTGCGGGGTATAAACTCAGGCACTGAGCATGTCCCTTTGCCAGCCTGGTCCACTCTGGCTTTTGCTCTGATGGACAGTTTCATTGGTGTATATCTGGTGCACTTTAGGAGGTGTACCTTATGGCCAGTCTTCCTTTCTCGATCCCTGTTTTCTCATCTGAGAATGGCAATAATATCAGGCCTGTCTTGCACACCGTAAGAATTAGGAGCCTCCTCCATCACATGCTCCTGGGGGATGCGCTTGGCAAGTGGCAGCAGGAAGACAGCCATGCATCACCCAAGGGAGTGGCACATTGGCGGTGCCATTCCAGGGTCAATGGATGTGATATTTTTGGACGACAGACCTTCCTAGGTGTGGAAACCTATTTGTTATTCTATAATAGCATGTCTCCTTCTGCCACGAATAGGGCTTGTAAGTCTCCAGCCCTACAGCACATAGCTGTACACAGAACAACTGAATCACACCTATTGAAAAGTTGGGGAAACCAATGCAAGGTAATGCCTCGTCTCTTTCCAAAAGCACTCTGTTGGTTTTCAAAAACGAAAACAACAACTCCATTAGGGAAATGTCTGGAATTGCTAAAAACCCTCAAGGAGTTTGAAGAAGGGGCTTCTATCTATTCTCTGCATAAAAAGTTGCCTCCCAAAATCTGGATCAAATGCCTTTCATTATCTGTCCATTGACAATGGTTTTAAAAAATAGAGTTCTCCTTAAACATATTTTTATTGAACACTTAATATGTGTCAGGTCCTATGCTAAGTTAAGGGGACAGCTGCAGTGGGCAGCGTGGTATAAGAGCAAGGATTTTGGAGTTTGGTTAACCTGGGATTGAATTCTACACTGGCTTTACTAGCTACAAACACCTTAGCCCCTTGGGTCTCAGTTTCCATATCTGTGAAATGGGGCTGAATGCAGCACTCAGTTGGTGTGCTAAGTCATTGGGATTCAGTGAGGTAAAGTGGGTCAGTTGCCCTGCCACATGTGACACGAAGTACCTACTCTATTCTTGGGGGAAGTGTGTAAGTCAGAGTCAGAGGTGCCCAGCACAAAAGCCTGCATCAAATGGAAGGGAGAATTGCCAAGCAGGTGTTTCTACAGACCCTCTGACCCAGGCCTCCAGGTACAAGGTCATTGCAACTCTGTGGGGTGTGACTTCCAGTTCATCTGAACTAGAACTGAGTTGAAAAGTTCAGTATGTGACTTCAAGTTCATCTGAACTGGAACTGTCTGGGAAAGGTGGGGCAGGGAATGGGGGCACATTCTGGGAGTTAGGCAAAGGGGTATTGACTACCCTATTGGCGTTAGGGGTAGAAGGGAGTTCCAGGGGTGCATGTATGGGGGTGAGGATGGGGACAGGTTAAAGAAACATTTCTGGGTCCTCACTTTGAGATCCCAAGGTGGGCTATAGGATCCTCCGAAGAAAATGACAAAATCATCTTAGTTGCTGGGATTTCTTCCCTATTTTCTGCCCATTCTGGGGACCCTCAAGATGGTACTACACAGAAGCATGTTGGCGTTTAACTTCCTGGAGGCAAAAGAAGCTCCTGCCAACTCTCGGCCTTTCTAAGGGGGACCAAGAGTATTGTAAGAAAGTAGCTCAAACTCCAGAGAGGAAGAGAAACCATAGCTAATGCAGGGATTAGCAGATAGAAGGAACAATAGAAGTAATACCCTAAGTGTCCATCAGTAAGGAACTGGTTAACTAAATAATGTATATGGGATTATCTTCGAGATCTATTAATAAGTAAGAAAAACACACATACATGCAAAACAAAGCATGGAAAAGTGGGTAATATGTTAAAATTTGTGCTTCTCCCAAAAAGGGCAAAGAAGAATGTAAATTTATGTCTAATTTTATCTATATGTGTATTTCCGAAAGGACATACAAGAAAGTGGTAATATTGGTCACCTCCAGATAGATCAACTGGGTAGCGGGGATACAGTAGAATAGCGACTTCCCTGTATATCTTTTTTAATTTTTGAATTTTGAATCAAGTAGCTCATGAAAAATAAAATTTACATTAAATCATTAAACATAATAATAGCTAATATTGTTACTGTGGGGAAGAAAATTCTGCTAAATACTCTACATTCATGATCTTATTTAAACCTCGTGGGTGACCTTAGAGTTAAATTCTATTTTACAGATGAGAGAGTTGAGACTCAGAGAGGACAGGAGACTTGCCCAAGGTCACACAGCTGGAGAGAGAGAGAGCCTTGATTAGACTCCAAGGATCAGTCTTAAGATCACTGTCTTAACCACTAGGCTACACTGCCTCTCACCGCCTTTCTGTCTTCTCCGAGTCCCAGCGCACAAGCGAGCAGGCACACATGTGTTCTCTCTCTCTGTCTCTCTTTGCTTTTTGGCTGGAAAATACAAGGCCCTGGAGAAAGAAATCAAAGAGAGGGCTTTCCAAAAGAGCAGGGTCTGCCTTTTCTTTTCTTTTGTTCTTAAAAAAAAAAATGCAGCTCATGATTATTCATTCTCTTTTTTTTTTTTGCTTTGGAACCAGAGGGCTTCTAAAAAAAAAAAATCAGCAAAACAAAATCAATGATCAGAAGTAAACTTTGAAGAGCAGTGTTTATAAACCAAGGTCAAAATCGGGCCCTACCTCTGATCTGGAGTCGTTTTATGGGCAGCCACAGGGAGGAGGAGGCTCAGACCTGCGTCCCAGCATAGGGTGTCCATGTTAATAAGGAACAGGGTTTTTATCTCACTAACTTGCTGCCTGGATCCCAGCATTTTCTCCCCATCTACAAATACTGATGATGCTTTCTGCCGGTGGTTTCTGTGAGCTTACTGAGTCCTGCAACTTGACATAACGAAATACCTATCTTCGGACAAAGAGCAGAGGGTTTTGGCTGCTGTGATGCCCTATGCTCATCGGAGACAGCAAGTCTTATATTCATCGGTTATCTGTCACCTGTCTGCTCACATTTAACGGTACTGAAATAAATTGGTCATTGGGGGTTTACTCCGAATCTATCTGTGTAACCTTAGGCTAATCACGTCACCTGTCTGGGCCTTGGATTCTTTACACACAAACAGAAGAGGCTGAGCTACATCATTCCTCAGGCCCCTTTTCTCCCTGTGATGTGATTCTTTTCTCGGGTTCCCCTTTGAAGCAGCTGTCTCCAGCGCATGCTATGTTTCTGCCTTTCCCCCAGTTTCATGAAGGAGCTCACCCGACTTGCAGGTCTTTCCTTCTGACTTTAAAGAGTCATGTTAGTCCTAGTATTATTATTATAGAGTCATGGTATTAAACATTTTTTTTTTCCTCTTTGGAACAGCTCACATGGAAAATGTTTTCCTTTCTCCTTCTAGGTGCCTTTTAGAGTTGTGCGTACAGGGTAAAGTGACTGAGCTTCATGGAGAGTAGCCTGTTCACCTCGCCACTCCCTCCCTTTTCCTTGCTGGTCTCCGGACTGATTATTCACATTTAACATTTTACAAATATTACTCTTTATAGGTAGAAACGCCACTTCTCCATTATCTCCCTGCCTAGTGTAACTCGAACACTTGACCAAAGAACAAGGCAGTGTACCTTTGGATAAAATATGATGAACTAACAGGAAGAAGGAAGAGCTGTTGGAATTAAAAAAACTGCGACAATTGTAATGATGATGATATGTAATGACAAAGTGAAGAGCTGTCATTTGCAGAGCCTTGCTCTGCTACGGGCTTTATACAAATTATCTCATTTAATCCTCATGATCCTATTAAGTAAGTGGCATCATACTCTTTTTGCGTAACGACTTAGCCAAATTATCGAGGTAACACAGTCTATAATTGAAAGAGCTAGGATCTGAACGCAAGCTTGCCTGGATCCAAAGCTCTTGTAATTTCCCAGCCCTGTGAGCAGAGGACCCATAAGTCATGACTTTTCTCTGTTCTCTCCTGTTTATTTACGGTACCTGTTGTCGCTACGGCACTGACTGGCTGGGATCGCCTTCCATTGCTTATTCCATAGAGTTCGATTTCGTATTCAGTAGCCTCTCTGAGACCTGTTATGTCCCTGGTACGTTCGGGGGCAAGGAGGGTTATTTCCAGTGGCTCAGACTGCTTTTTGGTATCTCTGATTTTGAGAACAAAACTGTCGAAGACCCCTTCATCAGCTGTCCAGGACAGACGGAAACCGTCTGGGGTGGCATCTGAAACCAGAAGGTTGTCAACTTCTGGTTCGGCTTCTAGAAAGGGAGAAAACAGTGGAAGGAGGGAAGAGAATGTCATTTACCAGTCCGTGCAATCTTCTCTCCAGTGGGGTTATCAATACGCAGTGATGCCCCAGCTTTCAGAGATAGAAATGTCCTGAGATACCGAAAATGAAATCATTCAACATTAACAAGTCTAGCAGGACTAGGACAGGGGAAAGATGGAGTTGACACATTCATACAAGCCAAGCATATGCTTGCATATGTGAGTTTTGTCTAAAAGCAATTCTATAAATCCACATCTGGACTCAGCCTGGGCCCCTCCCATGTATTATAAAATAAGTTCAAAGCCAGTAACTTGTTTACACTTGCTCTCTGTCTTCCAGTGGCTGAGCGCCCATCCTCCGTGCGACCTTTTCCTTTTCTTTTTGAAAAGACAAATAAACCAGCATTAACGATCTGTAGTGCAGCCATGATGATACTGCTGCTTGTTTCCCTTGAGCCTGAACAAAATGGCTTTTAAAATGTTATATAGTCTTTTTGCTTTGTTCTTAGAGCTGTTTTATTAAAGAAGGCTCCTAACCCTCAATTTCTTTCTTGCTTGACTTTCTTTTCTTGCTATTTTAACCATTACATATGTTCAGACGGTAGGTAGAACTGAGGCTTGGAACTTCTCCTGCTACATACTTGGGACCCGGGGTTTCATCTTGGATTGCCTTCACTAGACAAAACTCAACGTTAAGGTAAATTTAGAGCTGAGTTTCCCAAAGTGTGCTCAAAGCAAACCACTCCTGTTTGTTCCTCTTCCTTAAAAGGTACCCATTGTCAAATAAGTTTGGGAAATATTGCCTGGATAAGTCCCTCTTGGAGGTACACAAAGCACATTAGGATGTTCTGAAAAGCCTGTGGTTAAGGATCCTGTTTAACTTTGACTTGATGTTTCCAAACTTATTTGAACACGGAATTTCCTCACCAAGTAGGACTTTGAATATTCTATGGAGCTAGTAATCTGTAAAAGGGCTTTGGGAAACACAGATTTTTGACTGTTAAAGTTGTTAAGGTTATATTTCTGTAGGAATCATTAGTCTTGAGAAAATTATGGATTTAGTCTGTGTCGAAGAATATTTCTGATATTAGTGATTACCGAAGGAAGAAGTTCACATTTGGTTTTCCAATGACAAGTCCATGGGGTAAGTTTGTTAAGATCATGGTTGAGACTTTGAGATAGCAAAGGTTTTGAATACATTTTCAAAATATACTCATTGGTATATTTCTTTTGAGAAGGCTGAAATGCAGCTGGGGACCAGCCAGGATGAACACAAGGGAAGATACGGAGGAAACGCGCAAGAATATGGACAAGACATGGTCTAAAGGATTTGGGCCATGAAGTAGAAACATTTCGACCTTCTCATTTCTGGGGCGGGAGTAGGGAGTGCTCATTAGATACATAAGACAAGGGAGAGCACGGGGAGGACATGAAGGAACAGGGCGCATCTACGAATGTGAACGAAGATGTTAACATCAAGGTGATCCAGTAGACAGATGACATGGAAGGGAACCAGAAGAAGAGAGAACGGCTCACTTGAGTTGAAATACCTGTAACAATCTCAGCCCTCAAGGGCTTGGTTTGGTGCCCTTGGGTAAAGCCAGAGACGATAACCTCATAGCCAATGCCCGTTATGAGGCCTCTAAGCTCCAGCTTCCTCTGGGTTCCTGAAAGTGTGAATTCCTGGGGGTCCAGCAGCTTCCCAGAATCCACCACCGTTACTAGAAAGCTGTCAAAGGCATTCTCCGATGCCATCCAGGAAACTGTGAACCCGTAGGGATTAATGTCGGAAATGGTTAAGTTTTCCAGAAGGGGCAGGGCCTCTGAAAGAAGGGAGGAGTGAAAATATCTCAGGTTAGCAGCATCGACTGTGGCAGGACAGCACAAGTTTCCAAGGTCACCGATAGATACCCAGTCAACCACTCCATGTGTTACATGCTCAGAAAATGAAAAATTTAGTAAGAGCTTATCGGGTGTCAGATAGCGTTATTACACGCAATTATCTTAATATGCCTGTGAGGTAGGTATTATCTCCATTTTACAGGTGAGAAAACTGAGTTTCAAAGAGGTTGATTGACTTGGCTAACGTCATGAGCTAGAACGTGATAGAGCAAGGTTTTTAGCTTGATTTTACTCGAAGGCCAAATATTTCTCTATCCAAATAAAATATCTTATGTTGAGGTTGCACTCCTTCCTCTACTTCCCACTGCATTCTGGTTTTGAAGCAAATCGGCTTTTTTTTTTGGCAAATATACTTCCTTTTTTGATATATTTCATGTGTTTCTATCCTACTTCTAGTTTATATTTTGAACCAAGTCGATTAGGCCAGTTAGTGACACATCCTCACAAACTAACATAAAGGGAAGAGGTAAGATATTTTTCATGTGTCAAAGTTCACAATTTATGGTTATGGCATAGTACAGAATTCTAAGATTTGCTAAATTGTTTGCTGTTTATTTTCCTGGATAGAGTTAGAAAACAAGGACATCTCTGGATCTTCAGTAAGTTCCATTATCAGCCTTTGTTCATTCATTCACCAAACATCTGTGTCCCAGGCACTCTGGTTTCTTGGGTGCCAAGGGGCCTCTTCACACACTGGGATTCCCAGAAGGAGGGAGCTTATATAAGCTAATTTTCTGTCAATACTTCCCACTTGACAGTGCTTCACATTAGCATCCTATTTAATCCAATGACACTGTTAGGTAGACATTGCTACCTTCCCCTGACCCCCATGGCATCTAAGGAAACAGAGAGGCCAATGACTTATCCAACATCACACACCCACTAGGTGGCTAAGCTGAGATCCAACTGGGTCTTCTGACTCCAAGTTCTATGTTCTTTCCATGCCCAAAGCCAATGTCTAATTAGTAAACCCCACCAGTGCTGGCAGGTCCTGAGGCACAAACAGGATTAGTGGAGAAGGTCCAGCACCTCCTCTCCAGTTAAAAAAACCCACAGTAATGATGAATATATGTTTTTTATCAGAAGGAGGAAGGGGATGGGATTTCCAAACTAGCTGCGTCTAGTTTAGAGCCTTCTTTTCCATTGCAGCTAAATGGAAACTTTCAAAGAGATAAATGACCTTGCACTAACACCCAGGGTCTAATCCATGAGATGTAAAGAAAAATGTTTAAAAAAGAAGTGTTTGGTGACTGAATGAATAAGTGAATGAAAGTCCTCATCCCCTAAGCAGAGACTCAAATTTTGCTGTGGCTTGGACTTCCTGTACTTATTTTGAAACACTTGGTGTTTATTTTGAGGCATTTTTTCCACGTAAAGATCTCCAAAGAATCATAACTCTATCAAAGACAAAGATGAAATCACTTCTACTGTGCAAACAGTCTTCTTGGGCTGTTCGAGAGACAAGGGTTCTCAAATTCTGTTGCTGGGTTTTGTTTAGTTAAGTGGCGTCTCTCTTTGATAGCTGGCCTCTTTGCACCTCCTGCCATCAAAGCAATGAATTCCGGTGAAAGTGAGGGCGTTCAGGCTAATTAGTCAGTCCAGGGCTTGTTTTAAGAGTCCCTCCCATTCCACTCTTTCTTTTTTAATATGCTTCTTTTAAAAGACAGAGTTTTTTCACATCATGGATTAGTTGAGACAATGCTGTAACTGGATCTAGGATTCTCAAGCCCAGCTATCTCCGCTTTTCTTTCTTCTCTCTGTGCTGTGGGAGGTCCTGCAAGAACCTGCAAGCCAGGGCCGGATGGGATCTGTGGCCATCTCCGCCCGTCCTGGGCAGTGAGAGTCTCACCTCACACCTGCTCCTCCCTACCGCCATGCATGGAGAAATTATCGTCTTCTGTGTCTGAAGACTGATCCAAATGATTTAATTCACGTAGGATACTGGATAGAAAAAGTAACCGTTTTTCAATCTTACATTAAAACACATCCGATGTTCTTTTAAAAATAAGAGGGAAGTTGTGAGTGCACAGATCTATTGTTTCTATCTAGGCTGGGTGGTTATTTTTAAGAACACCACTTTGCTTACACTGTTGGGAGACAGCAGAAAGAATACCTACCGTATGCCAGGCAGTTAAATTTCTCTGTATCTACTTGGTCCCTAAAACAAAGCTGCCAGAGGTACTTGTGGGTATCCTTTCCTTATACATAACGAAATTAGGGTTCAAACAAGTTATGAACTTGCCAAGGTGATGTAGCTAAAAAGCCGTGGGAGAGATTTAGAAACCACACGGGCCTGAACTCAAAATCCTCACTCTTCCAGGACACCATGCTGTCTCCAATTAAATATTTAATTGTACTTATTAACATCTTTATAGCAACTTAAACCCTGGGAGAGACCTGGTTTAATGTGAAAATCAGATGGCAAAGTCCATTTTCTGAAAAATTATCAATAACGGAAGGCAAGAGACTTCTAAGTGTTTCCTGAGGCTTTTGGGGCTAGAAAGTTAGTAAATTGACATCATTTTCAACCTTTGTCATTGACAGGATGATATCAGGAAAGGAAATAGAAAACCATTTCTTTATATAGTTCAGAGAGAAGTTAGAAGTCAAGTTTAATAAATGGGCAAGGTTTAATTAAAGTTGGAATCTACCTGCTGTCCTAGATTGAGCCATTTTCAATCCGTTGTCGATTTTAAGAATTATTCTTTAAAGAAAAATGTTATTATACTTGTGGGGTAGGTAGTTTACGAACTGCCTTTCCTAGTATGATTTATGGGCAGAATTCTTGTCCTAAGTTTTTACTAACTTAGAATTCACTTTGTAGCCAGAACCTCTAAACTGTGGCTAAGATAGCCTATAAAAATGGGCACAAAAATGCCTAAAAGCTTTCTACAATAGCTGAAACATTGTCTCCCCTTCCCCAGAGTGGCTGTGAAAGACCTCTCCTTTGCAATAGTATCTGCCTTCTTTTTACTTAGAAGTTTACACAAGTTATCTTGGCTATTGTGAACAACGCTATATTGTAACCTAAGTGTCCATCAGCGGATGAATGGATAAAGAAAATATGGTTTATATATATCCTTTTAAAAGAAGGAAATTCTGTCATTTTTGACGACCTGGATGAATTGAGAGGACATTATGCAAAGTGAAACAAGCCAGGCACAGAAAGACAAATACAGTATGATCTCACTAATATTTGTAATCTAAAAAAGTTGAACCCTGCGGGGTGCGGTGGCTCATGCCTGTAATCCTAGCACTCTCGGAGGCCAGGCGGGAGGATCACTTGAGCTCAGGAGTTCGAGACCAGCCTGAGAGAGACTTCCTCTACTAAACATAGAAAAAATTAGCCAGGTGTGGTGGCATGGTGCCTGTAGTCCCAGCTATTCAGGATGCTGAGGCAGGAGGATTGCTTGAGCCCAGGAGTTTGAGGTTGCTGTGAGCTAGGCTGATGCCACTGCACTCTAGCCTGGGTGACAGAGCGATACTCAGTGTCAAAACAAACAAACAAAAAAACAAAACAAAAAGTTGCACTCATAAAAGTAGAGAGTAGAATGATGGTTACCAGGGACTGGAGTTGGGGGAATGGGGAAAGGGGAAATGTTGGTCAGAGAACATAAAGTTCAGTTAGACAGAAGGAATAAGCTTTAGTGATCTATTGCGCAGCATGGCGACCACAGTTAATAAAAACATATTGTATATTTCAAAATTGCTGAAAGAGTAGATTTTAAATGTTTTCACCACAAAAGGTGAGGTTATTGATATGTTAATTAGCTCGATGTAATCATTATATGATGTATACATATATCAAAACTTCACATTGTACCCCCTAAATTTATGCAATTATAATTTGTCAATTAAAAATAAAATAAAGAAGTTAACATTTGGAATGAAGAACTGTATTTTGGGTTGAATTTTCCTTTAGACTATCTCCCCCGTTCCCTTGTGTTAGAATTCTAAACAGACAAATGAGAACCTCTGATTGAGTACCTGTAACGACAAAGGCAGTGAGGGGCCTGGTGGGGTCCCCAGCCCAGGTGGTCCCTGTCACACTAACGTCATAGCCAGTGTTCTCCATCAAGCCCGTGATGTGAGCTTGCTGTGCATCTCCTGAGACTGTGAATTGCTGGGATTCATGCAGCGAGTGAGCATCGCTCACATTGATAACAATCTTTGCAAAAAGCCCAGCTCCAGTGGTCCATGACACGTTGAAGCTGTTGGGAGTAATATTGCTAAGGATTAGCGTGCCCAACTGTGGCTCTGGCTCTGAAGGGGAAGGAACATGGGCAGAGAGAAAGAGAGAGACATTGTTAGAGGAAACAGTGGATTTCTCCAAAATGTAGCCATAGAACACGAAAGCATCAATATCTCCAAATATTTGCAGAAAAGGTAGTATATTAGGCTGTGTCTACACCTGTATTGATTATGATGATAGAGAATATATTACAGGTGTGGATTTATGTTCTTTAAAGTATAGACAAGACCCTTTGCTAGTTGTGTATGAAGAAAAGTGAACAAGCCATTAAAGCAGTAGATTGGATTAATGTGAAGGGTATTAAGGCTGCATTTTCTAAGGTTTGTAATGGGGCACAAGTCTTCTAAGATGTTTCAAGAAAGGACAGCTTTATGGTGAAGTATGCATGGTGAACTTGAGTATTATATCTCACCTTAGAGATTCACAAGCATTTTAAAGGCTCCGACAAGCATTTTAAAGGCTCTAACAGGCTGGTTCTATAAATCAACTATTTAATTGTGGTTAGCCCATCATTTCATAAACTTATTGATCAATGGATAATATTCTGAGGAATATTCTTTGAACATCTCAAGGAGCTGGTGTTCCACAGAGTTTGCTTTAGAAAATGCTACTTTGGAGTTTTCTTATTAAGGCTTCTTTTGATCTATGTGGAGCGCACAAATTAAAGGCTAACATACACACAAGAGAAATTCTCCATATTATTTAGAAACTCAAATGTATATGCCATAGGAAAATCTATCTCTCACCATAAATACTATAAAGGTGAAGATGGCTTCCATTAAAAAAATTCCTGGTGGATGCAAAAGTTAAACTTGAAGGTAGGCATTGCATTTTCTGATTAGGAAATTGACTTATTGGACAATTTGGAAAGATGGATGGTTCCACTGAGGTTAAGTATCTCTTGTCTCTTAAAGTCTAGACAATCAGGGATGAGAGCAACTCATTTAATGTAAGGGGCCTAAAAGGTTAGTTTCAACTGAGAGGTATATGGGCTGGCCTCCTAAATGCTCATTAACCAAATAAAACTAATATTAAAATGAATTCAATCCAGACTATATTTTAGAGAGAGGCAATAGTCCTGGAGGGTTGAGATATTAGATCAGGACTTAGGGTTAAGAAGAAGCACACTCTTTCTTTCAAGGACTTGGGAGTTGTTTTGCTTCAGCTCCAAAATTTTGAGGAAAGAAAGGGCTCATCTTAACAAACTTTAAACTCACAATTGCATGGCATAACTCAACGCTATAAAGTCTCTAGGACCTGGCTCAGAAGTGGAATATAACCAAAAGCATTACATGGGATTTCCTACTTATCAATTAGTTTGAGAAGCTAAATGATGCTATAATTTTGAGCTACAGCATTGGCAAATGCCCTCAACCCCACAAAAGGTAAGATCCTCTAAATGGAACTCTGTTCTTTCCCTACATTTTGCTGCAGAAACAATCTCCCAAATTAAGGATGCATGTTGGGATTCTTCTCATGCTACCAGACAACACATTCACCATGCAAAATAAGATTTAGGTTCTCGAAGTCAGCTTTACTTCCAGCTGTTCCCCAGAGGGTGCAACCAACCTAAAAAGTGAGATGCAAGAAAAAACTCCAAAAAAGAATAGTAGTTAGGGTGTGGTCAGTCTTCCATGCAGGCGAGGGACATTTTTATCCTACCACTTCTAACCTTTGGAAACAATTCCTTGACATGCAGTCTGCTTCCAGGAAAGACAGACATTTCCAAAAATTTAATGCTCTGAGTATTTACCGCATGCACCAAGATTTGGACAAGATGATGGATAGAGAGAAGATTCTGACATTTTGTGACAGATATCACTGGGCTACAAAACATGCTTGACAGAGTACATGTCAAAAGAGAGCAGTCTGTTTGTAGGGGATCCAAACAAATAAAACTCGAGAACAAGATGAGACCACTGGGTCCTCTCATGCAGTCTATGGGGTGTGATTTAGGGTCTCCTCTCAGCATGCTAAGGGCACCACTATTTAAAATCCTGGTAGAGAGAAAGAAAATGCAGATCGTTCTGACCAACGAACCAGAAATGACATGCACGCACCTCTTTGAGTATAACATAGGCAAGCTTTGATTAGAAAGACCACAGGCAGATGATAATGGGTGGAACTGGAAAAGATTATTCAAGATCAGATGAAAGGATGGTTTAGAAATTCAACCAAAGCAAGTCACGTTAACTCTATACAAACAAATAAAGCAACTCCAGATGTGAGTGGATGTTTAGGAAAAAGAGGTTGACACTGAAGTTCCTTAATTTGGGTTAAGAGTTATTTTGAAACTTTAAAGCTTTGATTTGGATGGCTCTATCAAATTTGAGAAGGATCTGGAGCAACTAGGAGGATGAAAAGTTGGTAGTGGGTGATTTTTTTGGAATGCCATTCAGAGGAAGTTCAATAAAGAGTGAAGAACTGATAAGGAGAAATACCTGTGGTTGCTTGGACCATCAGGGTCTGAGCACGCTGCCCGCCAATCAGCCCATGAAGGTGGGCAGTGTAATTGGAAGCAGCTTTGAGGTTGGTGATGACGGAGCTGCGAGATGCCCCAGGCACAGAGTGCACCGTGGTCTCCTGGGGTTGATCGGAATTACTAACTTCTATAAGGAAGCTATCAAAGGCAGGCTCCTGAGCTATCCACGAGATGGACACACTGCCCCAGGTCACATTTGAGACAGTGAGGTGGCTAAGGAGAGGTTCGGCTACTAAAGCAAGAAGAAAAAATATGAAAGTGTATCAACTGAAAACACCGTTACAGAGTCAAAATCAAAACACATAAGACTAAATCCATAAAGTTTTAGACTTTACCTTTAGGAAAAAGGTAAAGGAACTTGTTCTTTGTTGACAACCAGTTTGAGCTATAAGAAACAAATATATTTGGCTGACTAATTTTCTCCTCTAGGTTTTGTTACTTTAATATTTTAATCTTGCTGAGAGGGAAATTACATAATGCCATCTCTCTGCCTTTTCTATGGACCACCCTGATAATAATTTGTCATCTCATGTAGAATGCGGACAGACCCTCCCTCAACCATGGGTGACCTAAATGGTAGACAATTTTGATGCTACCAATCTCAACCCTATTCTTGGATTCCCCAGACTATGGGTCCCGTTCTCTCTTTCTCTTTCTCTCTTTTGTGAAGTATAAGGACAAATTCTTCTGTGTTTGTTCTACAAATATCCCTTTTTTTTTTTTTCCAGTTTGTGATGCCTTAGTTTACCTGTCAAGAGAAAGCATCATCTAAAACATGCTAAGAATGCTATTTTGAAGGCACAAGGCTCTCCTTTCCAAATTCACACGAAATTCCCTTTTGCTGCATGGCAGAGAGCATCTGGCATGGTATATATGCCACAGATACCGCACATTTAAAGTGAAAGCAGTTCACTCTTTTTTTTTTTTTAATTTTAACCAAGTTCCTTGTTTGAACACAATGCTTCTACTTTTATTTTTGCCATCTACCATTCACTGTTCCAATGGCAAGATGGCATAGTCTGGTTTTTTCTTCTAGAAGTCTTTTCTCCTAGATCAATTGAACTGGGGTGGTCTGAATGGCACAGCTACCTTCTGTACTCATTTGATAAGTAATCTTTGCTCTTTCTCTTCACTTTCCAAATTGAAGAAAAATAATACCATCAACACAATTATGAAATCATTGGATTATAATGTCAAAGGCATTAGGAAGGTGAAGACATAAAGATGACAAAAAATATAATTTTTAAGACCTCTTTGACTGAGGTCACTACCTTTCCAAGTCAAGAATAGCTCTTGCTATACCTTTTTAGTTACTGAAAAGGAGAATTCTTTTCTCTAGATTCTGTAAAGCGATCTGCACAAAACTATGTTTTATGCTGCAAATATCCTGGTTGGTGATAAATCAGGCAAATGGCTTTATGGCAAACCATTATTTGAGCTGCTGTTGGAAAAGAATTATGTTAAATAGAGCTCCAGCCTAGCATCATGGAAGAGGTGGCGCCCTGTGGCTTGTACGTTGATGGGAGAGGAAGTGGAGTGGTTTCACCCTGCAAAGAAGACTGCGGAAAGAGCGGGTTAGACACGGGAGAATGCACATGTACCTGTGGTGGCTGTGGCACTGATGGTTTTGGTCCGGATGCTGGGAGAAAGTCCAGACAGGTAGATAATAAAGTCAGTACTAGGGGGTAGCCCTGAGATGTGGGCAGTTCGTTCAGCACCAGAGATATTATATTCTACCGTCTCCAGCAACCTATTAGAATCAATAATTTCAATGGTAAAGGTCTCGAAGATCCCATCAGCAGCTGTCCAGGAGAGATTGAAGCTCTCAGGAGTTATGTCAGCAACACTTAAGTTTCCAATTTCAGGTTCTTTGGCTGAAAAAGGATGGGGTGGGAGAGAAAAAAAAATAAATTTGAATTAATTATCTGGCTGTGTTTTAAGATGGAGGTTGTTAGTAGAACCATTACTGGGTAGAGAGATCTGATAGTTCAGGGTTATGGCGAAATGAAGCAAAGTTACCAATCAGTGCCAATGAGAGAGAAAAAGCAGTTTTGTTAAAAGAAAAATAAAAAAAGGAAAGGACGGCAATTAGAGTTCTCTACTCTGCAGTTGCCACACATGATCAGGCCCTGGCCGAGAACATGAGCTGAATGATCTCTGCAGGAACTGCTGCTTATTAGCCGTGCATGCCTCTGGAAAGCCCCGCCTCAGGGCCGCTGGCCATTGGTCAAAAGATACGAGTCCTGGCAGCTTCCAGTCTCTTGAATTGCACTCAGGAGACCAAGATTACTTGGATGCCTCCTTGAATGCAGACATTCTTTGCTTGGAGGGATCTCCCATCTATTCAAAGGAGGGCTAAATAATTCTGAAGCCATTACTTTCCCAAGGTAGTACCTCCAGGCTTCTGATTATGTGACTTAAAAGGAATTGCCAATTTCTCAGTGCAATTCTTGGTATTTTTTTCATACTTCAGTCAAGGGCCAGCCAGCTGTTCTCATATTCCGTTAAAATAACCTGTCCCCTCTTAACTGCTTCTATGTAGGCCAAAAAGGCTAGTACTGCATTGCCAACCAATAGAGCTAAGCCAAGACAAGGCAGTTGAAGCAACCTTTTCAGCCAAGAAATAACATTTTGTCTTGGAGATGGTCCTGCCAGTGCTTTTCTGAGCAAAAGGAATAAAACATGCAGAGGGCAGGAAGGGGCAGAGTTTGAGAAGCTAGTGCTGTCTCTTTAGCAAGGAAGCAGGCTCCTGGGCTCTGAGACCAACCCAACAGATTTGTTGAGACACAGATCAGATGGGATTATGGCCTTTCCTCCTAGTCCAACTCATCAGAGGCAAGAATGTTGCCATCGTTAAAAAGTAAAACACACGTGCCCATAAAAATCCTAATGACACCCAAACCACAAGATCTGAAGGAAAGATCAGAAGTGGTGGGTGATTTCTCTGCCTCCTGGGAAGGGATGGTTTGTGTGTATCAGATAAGAGTCCTGGGCATATTCAGGGCAGCCTCCACTGCAATTTCTAGGCATTTCAGCATCACTGTCCATGCGGTGGTTGCCTGTGTTTTATGTTTGTCTATCTCAGTAAGAGTTACTGAAATGGCTGGGGCTAAAATAGTTATTCTTTTGCTAGAATCAACCAGGTATAGGTATGTCATGAAAGTTTAGTTGCAATAATTACATGAAAGGAGGGGGCAGTCATATGCAAAACAAAGCAACAGTCTCTACTGAGCTTCAGACCCACCGAGGCGAAGAATGAAGACGAGTAATGGAAAACAGTGCCGGGGGAAGGCTGCTGACTTCAGCAGGCTCCCAGGGAAACACTGGAGCCTTGTAATTGAAGTAGGGCGAGGAGTAAATCACAACGTACCCTCCTGGGTCTGGGGCTTGGAGTTTGCCATCCAAAGGCCAACACTCCAGAGAGCAACTCTTGCTTAAAAGAGCAAAAAGGGCATCAGTTCTTTGACATTCATAGCCTGGGACAGTCCTTGTTCCAAATGCTGCTGTGTATACTTCTCCTAATGAATAGTTTTGTCTTTGGTACAGTCTCCAGTCATAATTGTGTGATTTTTTTTTTTTCTTTTTGGTCTAGCTATTTGCTAATTTGATGTTCTAACAATGACTCAGTATCTGAGAGAATTGCCTGAAGGAGGGTAATTCAGTTCTCTTATTATACTCAGTGCATTTTAAAGATACATTTCTTAAATACAAGAACCACAGGACCCATGCCCTTGAGGGATTTGGAGAGAGGAAAGCACCATTTCCGACTAGCAAAAGACTCTCTAAAGTAAATAATCTGTGCTCCACCAGAACTCACACATGGGAAAGGGGGGCTTTTAGTAACATCCAAGCACTGGAGAAGTGAATTAAAACCATCGGGCTGATTCCTGAAACAAAAAGCCATCATTCAAAAGAGATGTAGCTGTAGGATCGGTCAGGTAAAGCGTGGGAGGGAGAGGCTGGGGAGCTGGAGGTCAGAAGGGACCACATCTGCATCATTCATCACTGAGATGGCAAAGGCATCTGGACAAAGGCACAGCCCATGGGAGGTCTCTGAGCATGCATGGCCAGCAGCTAAAGGACACATGGAAAGAATTCAGTTATGGAAAGAAGCCGACTGCCTGCATGATCTCTTGAAGAAGGAGCAGGGGACCTTGGGGAGAAAGCACTGGAAGGGAGCAGTACCTGTGGAGGCCTCAGCAGAGAGCACTGGTGTTCTAGAGCCCCAGATCACCCCATAGATGGAGATTCTGTAAGGGGTAGCAGCCTTGAGGCCTGGGATGTCCACAGCCCGGAGGCTGCCGGGCACCGTGAGGTTCTGAGTGGCCTCCAGCGTGTTGGCCTCCTGCACCTGGATGACAAAGTGCTCATAGGCCTGGTCTGGTGCGGTCCAGTTCAGTTTGAGGCCATCCCAGCCAAACTCAGTCACAGCTAAATCTCCCAGCTCGGGGAGCTCCTCTGAAGAAGGACAGAGAGATATTTGTCAGTTCTGTAAAGCAAAAATGAGGAAACCAAAGGTCCCAAAGCCCAACTCTAGGAAAGAGAGAAAGAGGAGAAACACTTTTTGGGGGCGGCGGGGGAGGGAGGTAATTAGTCTCTGGGCATTTGCAATTTGAACAATGGTACCCTGGCCACAGCTCTCATCAGGAGCTGAAAAGAGTCAGAAAGGGGAACATCTGCATCATTCATCCCAGAGATGACAAAGGCATCTGCAACCAATGCATGGCCCACCGGGAGGTCTCTGAGCATGTGCGACCAGCAGCTAACGTTCATGTGGAAAAGTGGGGTGTGGGTCAGAGTAAGAAAAGTGACAATGGCTAAAAGTGCAGACTTTGGAGGCAGGTGGTCCTTGGTCTGAATCCCAACCCTGCTATTTGCTAGCTGCGTAATCCTGGGCATGTCACTCAGCTTCTCTCTGAGCCTCACTCTCTTGACCTTCAAACGGAGCTGACAGTACCATTGCATTGAGTCGGATGATCTAATAATAAACGATAATATTCATCAACCTCTGAGTACTACGTGTGATATATAGTGAGTGCCTGAGAAGTGGCAGCTTCCAAAAGATATCATTTAGGTGTTTCCCTTGGAACTTCTCAGGCACGTGGGAGAGAATTCCCTGCGTCATTTCATTACTTGAAATTAGAGAGATCATCTCATCACTGGCCACAGGTTATCTGCCTGGGTTTATCGGGTGTATGCTGTCTCAGGGTTGGACAGGTATGATGCTTTAATCTCTGAGCTTTTCTCAGCTTTCGGGGATCAAAGGTTATGTACAGGATTCTTGGCTTTGTTCTTCTCTTTCCTTCTTCTGCTAGTACCGTGTGTCTGAGTGAAGGACGGCTGCATCGCAAAGCACGGCTGTGTGTGTGCAATGAGTGTGCCTGCTTTTAATTAAAAGCGATGATGTTTTGCTCAGCAAATGGTGCAGAGCAGGGCCTACTATTAAATTTTTTGCAACGTAGCAAGGAAATAAAATGTAGTTATTATTGCTGATTTAGGATGTTTGGATTCGGGATATGGAAAAACCCACTGCTTTGTGGGATGTTTCTCAGGGTTAAGTGCAATCTCTCAGCCACTCTTCTTAAGCCTGAAGTGGCCACAGATTAGAAGTTAGGGAGGAAAACATCTGCAGGGATTTCAATCAAAAAATGTGGGAGATAGCTACTTGTTCGTGGGTACTCCAGGATTCAGTACACTGTGAGAGTCTGAGCAACCTCTTCCTTTTACAGGGGCTGTTTTCAAACTGGGTTCCACATACATCCAGTGCTTTTCTGGAAGAACCATGCTGGGGACACAGATGCAGGCATCCCCCTCTTCCTGGGCTCCCCAAGAACAGCTGTTTGTTTATCTGTCAGTACAGTAGGAAGATTTCATTTGCAAAAGGAGTTCTGCTACTCAAAACAGACGTTTGCAGACTATAGGTGAAGATTATCAGCGTCCTGCACCCAGATCACAGATGTCTTAAAGGCCTTTTTACTCAAAGGCCCTGGAAGATATTCCAGGAAACACAAGGTGATAATCTGGCCAGCTTAAGTATATTAAAATTTCACCTTTCTTATTTTCAGAATCATGTGTAGTTTCTAGCTGTGACCAAGTTTATTTATTATATATGAGCAAGGAAAATAATTTGAATTAGTGATCTGGGTGGCATTATCAAAATATAGGATGGGCTTAGGGCTCAGCACAAAACTCCTATTACCAAAAATTTGGCCTGTTTGCTCACAGCCCCTTTTGAAGCTATTTCTAGGAGCCTCGTGGGCAGCACACAGTTTTGTATAACAGATGGAGCAGCATATTTTCATGGTACAAATTGATAAGAATTGTTTTTCCTCCCTAAAGTGAATAAAAAACATTGAAGTCAAATGTGGCTGTCCTTTCTTAAAAATGTCCTTTTTTTAAGATATTTGTTAAGAAGAGAGACTCCTTATAAGTCTCTCTTATAAGTCTTATAATTTTAGTAGAAGATGACTATATCATTTCCAAAAATTATTATGTAGAAATCTGACTATGAGTTGGGTATTATTTAGTGGTTCTGAGGCCAAATATGATAAGGTTTTTCTAAGAAAGTTCTGATCCTCTTGCCACAGCCCTACTGTTTGTGCTATTTTTTTATGACTCTGTGATCTGCTGCTACATGATCAATTTAACTATTTGTTATTCAATACTTATCTGCATGATGGACACTTTGCTAAGCACTCACCCTCGTTAGCTCATTGACTCCTCATGACAGTGTTCTGAGTAGGGGTATTATATCTGATTTGGAAATGAAAGAAGAAGGCTCAGATATGCAGAGTGATATACCCAAGAATATTCAGCCAATAAGGTAGAATTCCAACCCAGACCTTCCTGAATTAGAGATTCACGCTGCCTGTCAACATTTAGGTAGGATTCTACCACATGGGGAGTTTTCTCTATTCTAATGACAGGCTGGCTAATATCACACCTCTGGTCTCGTGGGAGGGCCATATACCTGTGGTGACCTCCACAGCAAGGGGCCGAGTGCTGTGGCCCCTGACCTTGCCGTGCAGGGTGACTGTGTAAGGAGTGCCAGCCCTGAGGCCAGGGATTTCCACGGAGCGCAGGCTGCCAGGAACTGTGAGATTGCGAGCCTCTTCCACCTGGTCCGTCTCCTGGACCTGAATGACAAATTGGTCGTAGGTGCCATCTGGTGTGGTCCAGTCCAGTCTGAGGGCATCCCAGCTAACCTTGGTCACTGTGAGGTTTCCCAGATCTGGAACCTCCTCTGCACAAGGACACAGAGTTGCTGAGTTACTAAAAAAGGCAAGTGCTTTCTGGGATTCAGGTGAGATGGCATTTTGGCTGAGATTGGGATGAGTTGTCTGGTTAGTGTTGATTAGAGATACATGATTTACAGTGTGTGTTGAACACACTCTAATTGTTGGCACTAAAGCCAGGATTTTTCTATTCAGCCTTTGGAAATAAAAACTAGTTTTAGGAATTGTTCACAACTTCCATTCTTGACATACAAATAGGGCTTTGGGGAGTCCTTTGGTGTTCTTAAAATGAGCTCAGAGCCTTTTTTTTTTTTTTTTCTCACTTACAAGTTGTGCTTTTCAAGTTCATAGATACTATGACTGAGACTGGCTTTGGAAGAAAAGTCATCTCTCACTTTTACAAAAGAAGAGTAGGTGGAATTTTCCACGGAACTGGGCTTCAACTAGGACCTGGCCAAATAAGGGATATGACCTTTAGGAAGCAGCAGGGATGATTCACCGGTGTTTCCCCAATGTGGTAGGGGCTGAACCCGGTTTAGAGCAGGGAAGAGCGTTGATTCTTCCTGAGCAGAGACAATGGGGATGAAGCAAATTAGTGAACTGGTCTAGAATACCTGTCGAGACCTCAACAGAGAGAGGGGTTGTGCTGAAGTCCTGAGTGACCCCGCGGATGGTGACAGTATAATGAGTGTCTGCTTTGAGCCCAGGCAGGTCCACGGACCTCTGTTCTCCTGGGACTGTGAGGTTCTGGGCTGCCTCTACTGCGTCAGCCTCCTGCACCTGAATGAAAAAGTGCTCATAGGCCCCTTCTGGAGCGGTCCAGTTGAGTCTGAGGGCATCCCAGCCCACCTTGGACACCGTGACCTCTCCCAAATTGGGAGTTTTCCCTGGAGAAGGACAAAGAACTAGTTTAGTGATCAAATCATACATCAAGATCCAGGGAATCTTCAATGCAAAAATAAGCTGTATATTGTTTTAAAAATATGACTTTCTTTAGATAAACATGCATCATGCAATTTTCTAAATTTTAGAAATAGAGCGAAGAGGATGAGTTGTGGGAAAATATTTGTTTTGTTTTCTTATCTTATTAAAGAATTGCCTTAATTTTATGATCTTTTTCCCTTTAAAATATAGTGCCTTAATGTCCCTTAGCAGGCAGAGCCTGTTTACAGAGCTAAGGGCCCCCTTTGTTGGGGCTGTGTGTACAGCTGCCCAGGCTGGGCTCTGTACAGCTACAAAGGGCGTCATTCACTTAGAGTGAAGTGTCAAGGGTGGCCTTGGAGGTATTTAACCTGATGACCCAGCTGTCCATTATTAGATCCCTTGGCACTATAACTTGTGACAAAACAAGTCCATCCCAAAGCTAGCTGTGTCTGATTATCCGTGGGCAGTTTCCTGTTGGGAAACATGGAAGCTGTAGATAGGAAGGTAAGAGGTACCTGTGGAGGCCTCAGCAGAGAGCACTGGTGTTCTAGAGCCCCAGATCACCCCATAGATGGAGACTCTGTAAGGGGTAGCAGCCTTGAGGCCTGGGATGTCCACAGCCCGGAGGCTGCCAGGCACCGTGAGGTTCTGGGTGGCCTCCAGCGTGTTGGCCTCCTGCACCTGGATGACAAAGTGCTCATAGGTCTGGTCAGGGGTGGTCCAGTTGAGTTTGAGGCCATCCCAGCCAACCTCAGTCACGGTGAGGTTTTCCAGTTCAGGGGTTTGTTCTGAATAATGACAGAGATGGGGTCAGTTAAAGTATTACTCTCAATGCTTGGTTTCTGAGAACCCAGCAACAGTAAACCCAGTGCCACTGCTGAAAGGCCGTCCCAGCCGGAGTGCTGTGTCCTGCTCACTGCACCCCCTCCTGGGGCTGTCCCCACTAAAACACCAGCAGAAAGCTGATAGGATACTTATTTTGCCTTCATGCACATTTGGGTTCGTCTTTTGGAAATGGTACTTTTCTACTGACCAGTGTCCTGCAGATTTAGAAAACTCTACAGATCTATGTTAGTGATGCTCTGAGTTTCACTTTCCATTTTGGAAAGTGTGTCTCATCATAAGGAGGTGGCCCTTATAAAGAGCTTATAAGGAGCTGTTCTTGGGGTCTTGGTCTGAGCTGTCCAGCCTTCTGTATTTTGAGACAATTGAGATACCTGGATTCCCTTCCTTTCTGTGCTGCTTCGGTATCCTCTGGAAGGTCTATTTTATAGTTTATATTTGGATTTTGTCAGTTTCTAGGGTTCTAATCAATTTACACAGACCAGTAAAGATCAGAGATAAATTAACACAGTATTAGTAAGGCTGAACAGAGGAAGGTGATGACCCTTTGAAAAACTATTCCTTATTGGACAGAAAGAAAGAATGAGGCCATGGGAGAAAAAGACCTTATGAAGCTCAGCTAAAATTGAATGCACCCTCTTCATTCATCTCCTGAACACACAAAATTCAGTAAAAACTCACTTGTCTAAATCTGCCTTAAGGGGGATAATTTGCCCAGAGCTGAGCTTAAGTGGACTTTGCATGACCTAGGAAGGAAAGGATTTCTCTGAAAATGGATCCTGTAAACAAGAGAGTATGAACTGCCTTTATCTCATTTAAAAGAACAAACTGTTTCTTCTATTTAATGTCTCACATTGCTGCTCATTTCAAATGAGCTCTGCGTGTCCATTAAAGCAGACCTCTAACTTGAAAATCTTAGCTTGCGATTTGATTGAGGACACCCTTCCAGAGGGGAAAACATTTATTTTCTAGAATCTACTTAATTCAGACTTTTCCAGGTTCTGGGGAACATTCTTCCTAATTGTTTTATTGACAAAGTTTATACTCCTTCAAGTTCTGTTTGATCTAGAACAGAGGTCCACAAACTATGACCCAAGGACTATATCTGGCCTGCCCCACATTTTTAAATGATTGGTAAAAAAAAAAAAAATCCTAAGAAGAATGATATTACATGATGCATGCAAATCATGAGATTCAAATTTTGGTACCATAAATAAAATTTCATTGAACACAGCCATGCTTGTTTACTTACATACTGTTGGTGGCTGCTTTTGTGCTACAAGGCACAGTTGAGTAATTGTGACAGAGACTATCTGACCCGCAAGGTCTAAAATATTCACCATTTGGCCTTTTATGAAAAATGTTTTAAAGCTTGACCTTGAACTACAGCCTATGGATGCCTCATTTAACCCAAACTCATGCCCTGAAGCTCACACTGAAGACTCCATGGTAGTTCTTAACCACCTAAACATGGTCTGTATGAGAAAGAGAGGACCTCAAACTCCAAGTGATATATCTAGATTTGGGAAAAGAGAGGAGAGTCAGTTACTTTTAAACCCATGGGCCCTTGTGAGGTTAGGAACTGTGTCCCCAGATATAACAATTACATTCTTGACCATGGGATTTAAGCACAACTAAACTCAGGTGCATGTCCTTCTTAAATGTTCCAGTAGTCCTGATACATGAGAGATGTAGGACAAAAACAAGTCTAAGTGAAAAATGAAATCACTCCTACGGCTCCTAAGCTCCCCTTCCTCTTTTTTTCCTCTGTTGTCCAAAGCCACTTGTCAGGAACTTATCTCACATTGACAACTTACCCCTTTGCATGAATTAAGTCACTGTCTTTCCTCTGCGGGTATCTGTATTTTCAGCTTTATCTCTAATTATGACATGAAACATATTTTTTTTCCATGAAAGAAATTTCAGATACCAGGTTGAAAGAGATATGGGGAGATTTGTGTAACTGGGGGAGGGAGGAGGTGACTCAGGATTGCCCATTAAGCTGCTACAGTAGAAGAGGGATGGAGGGAAAAGATGCAAACTGGAAAATGTCTCTTCCTGATAAGAATCACCTTGTCTATTTTAATCGGCTCTATAATACGTCACTGATGCTTTCATATAATGACCTTCACATCCTGCTTCATCTGTTCGTACAGTTGATAGAGTAACTTTCACATAATATCATGTTGTTCAGTAAATAGGAATAGTAATGGTGTTGAAATTTCTGCCAAAACTCTTGGCTATTCTCCCACTGGTTTGTTTGTTTGCTTCTTTTTTTGGTAGACAAATCAAAAGGAGCACTGGTTTGTCCCTTTGAAAGGCAGTGCTCTGGCCATGTCTGTAGTGGATACTATCAGTTCCCCACTCAGATCCCTTCACTAAACAAATGCTAACCAAATAAGTAAAAGGTGCAACTTTCACAAATAAAATCAGTTACAAATTAAAGGGAGTAGGATAAGAATTATGAAAGGAAAGGGATAATATGAATAAAAATATACCAAACGATAGTTGAGGTGGAAACCAAGAGGCATCACATAAATGCTGACTCTACATTTCAACAGCAAATGACATACTTGTGGGCTTGCTGCCCCAGAAGCCAAGTGTTTCTGCTGTAGAGTTCCACACTGACTTTCTTGGCATTTCTTTATGAAAAGGCTGTTGTCTTTTTCTTACAGCTGTGCGTCGGAATCTACCCTCTGAACAATGTCAGTGGGCCTGGGAAATCAGAATTTTGAAAACCCCTTTCTGTGCTCAGGGTGGGCTGAGCAGCTGGCCTGGAGGAATTTCTGGCAGTGCCAACTTTGAATCTTTAGATCTCTGCCATCTTGTCGATGGTAATTACCAAGTGTTGATGAGGAACCCACCGTTAGTGTTCACTTATGGGAGAAAGAGTGATTCTCCCACAGCAGGCAGATGGTCAAATCCAAGCCTGACGAACTCAAAGCATAGATTAAGTGGCTTCGGTCTCATCTTGTAGAGATAAGACAGTTGAGGTGAAAAGCCTTGGCTGCCTTCAAACTTTCAGTGACTCTTTGTAACTGTCAAGAATGAAGCCCCTTAGCATGATGCCCACGGCCTGATGCAGATGTCCTTGACGACGTGTCTAGAATCAAAACCTACCATTCCCTGTTCTATCCCGTAGTAGGACTGCACAGCTTGCGTTTCCCTGTCTTTGACCTTTTCAGATGCTGTTCCCCCTCCTGGTAATGTCTTTACTGTTTCCCCACTTGCTCAACTCCTTTTACTTTTCCAGGACTCAGCCAAGCATCACTGCTTCTAAAACAACCTCTGATGCTGTTTAGTCCTTTGCTCAGGTCTGTGCTGGGTACCAGCCTCTGTGCTCCCATGACCTCCCACAAGTCCCTCCTAAAACAGACAGCCTACATTTTTATAATTTTGGTTTTGGCTCCCTCTCTTTGCCATCTCAATGTGCATCATTTCTTGAGAGTAGAATAGAACTTTCTGTTCTATATACAAGCATTGCCTGCCCCATAGTAGGTAAGAAATAAATATTTGGTGGATGGATAAACATTTGAATAAATTCCAGTTTGCTCTGTGAGAAAATCAAAATGGCAAGTCAAAGAAGAATGTTCTCTATTGTCTGTAGCTGTGACTAAGAACAAAATTCTACCTTTCTGCTTCCAAAATTCACGTGAATTACAGGGTTGTCACTGTCGAGGCTTATGTTGCTATGGAAAAATGTTCCACTGACTTAGTGTTCTTACCTAGAGCCCCTGCTTCATACCCCTTATCGCACGCCGCAAATCCATGGCCTTGACCTTAAGCAGGGGCTAGTTGTGTTTATCAGAATACAAAAGCAGAGATTCAGAGAAGAGGACAGGAAGGGGTGGGGGAGAAGGAAGGGAGGAGAGGAGAGGGGAAGGGAGGGAAAGATGCCTGCCACACACTAATTTCTTTTAATGCAAACAGAGACAGTATCTTTCCCAAGGACTATGAGCATGTGAGCAGCAGTATATGGGTCAATACAACAATGCTGACTTTGTGATTTACTTCTCCTCAAATATCAGCACAGTACAATGTATGCAGTAGGTACTCAATACGTGCTTACTAATTAAATTGAAAGTAAAGACTATTACTTGCTTACCCTGGATGAGTAATATTTTCTACCTATACACTTTGAATATTTGGTGGCCAAAATTGAATGTGCATATTTTTCATAAAGGAAGAATCTTTTTTTTTTCTGACTGTTTTTTTCGATTTAGTAACTGAGGAAGCATGGCAGCAGGTTCAGTGAACAGGATGCCTGGGCTAGAAGGGACACTGGAGGTCAGGATCAAGCTGTCATCACAGAAAAAGCAGTTTTACCTCTTAATGACTGAGAGAAAAGGGAAAATGAGAAGGGGACCATGGAAATCTCAGAGGACCACATGCAACTTTTCAGGGGTAACCTTGATGGAAAGCAAAAGACCTGGAATAAAAATATTTCATGGAAAATAACCAAAGAATTATTACCAACATCTTGGTCATCATTAAAAGAAATAAAATGAAAAATAAATTAATTGTTAGGCTAAAGGAGGGAAATAAACAAGAAGCAATTTAAAAGATTCTGTAAGACAACTGATACAACAAACAAACAAACAAAAAAACAAAGACAAATGCAAACCCTGGGGCATTAAGTTCTCCTAGGAAGAAATATTTAAAAACCACTATTGCCTGGTGAGAGAACTTTGCAGAATCAGTTGACAAGAGGAAAAGTTCATACTCGGGAAAGACAAGTAAGCGGCTCTTTCAAAGTGGTGTTTAGGGGCTTCGTGTGTGGAGAAGGCAGCAGGTTTTCCCATCTGGCCTCTCAGGTGAGGACAACCCGGCTGAGGCAATCTGCAAACTTGAGAATCAACAGCGGGTTTGGAAGGAGCTCAGGGCGGACTCACCGGTGGATGCCTTCACACGCGCAGGTTTGCTCTTGTGCCTGCCCTTCTCGGCTGTCAGGAGGATGGTGTATTCCCACCCTGGCTGCAGATCTCTCAGGACGTAGGAGGTGGTGTTCCTGGGAAGCTGCACCTCCACAGGCTGGCCCGTGGGGAGGCTGTAGTTGAGGCGGTAGCGGTCAAACTTGGCCGACGGTGTCCTCCAGGCCAGGGTCAGGCTGGTCTCTGCAGTTTCAGAAACCCGAAGGTCCTTGGGTGTGTCCAAGTCTGGGAGAGAAGAGAGAGGAGATGAACACTCTTCAGGCTGCCAGGAAGGGCTGCTCCTGGGGCTGAAAGTCACCCACCTCCAGGCTGGAATCCTAGGTCTGCCATGGAGGGGCTGTGTGGCTACAGCAGATTCGCCTCTCTGAGTCCCTTTGTCCACCTTTGTAGAACAGGCCTGGTTATACTTTACCGTGTTGGATTTTTTGAAGATGAAGAATCATGCAGTGGTATATCCATACCATAAAATGCTACTCAATTAAAAGCATTTAAAAGGAACAGACTATTGACACAAGAAACGGTTCAGATGGATCGCAAGAGAATTAGGCTGAAGGACAAAAGCCAGTCTCAAAAGGTTACATACTGTATCGCCATGGACTGAATACTTGTGTCCCCCTAAAATTCATGTGTTGAAATCTAATCTCCAGTGTGATGGTACTTGGACGTGGGAACCTTTGGGAGGCTCATGAATGGGATTGATGCCCTCATAAAAGAGACCCCAGAGACATCCCTTACCCCTCTGTCCTGTGAGGACACAGCAAAGCGACGGCCCTCTGCGAACCAGAAGGCAGGTCCTCACCAGACACCGAGTCTGTCAGTGCCTTGATCTTGCACTTCCCAGCCTGCAGAGCTGTGAGACATGAATTTCTTCTACTTATAAGCCCCCCAGTCTAAGGCGTTTGTGTTATAGTAGTTCAAATGGACTACGACATGCAGGGATCCATTTCTGCAGCATTCAGTTATAGAGATGAACAGATTAGTGAGAGCCAAGGGTTGGGCAGAGGGTAAGGAGGGAGGTGGCTGTGGCTATAAAGGGTCACTCGTAGGATTCTTGTGATGGGACTATTCTGTGTCTTGACTCTAGTGGCGGATTCACAAATCTACATATGTGGTAAAATTGCATAGAACTAAATACACACATACACACACAAATGAGAGCACCCAACTCTGGAGAAATCTGAATAAAGTGGATAGATTGTATTGATGTCAATTTCCCAGTTGTGATATTGTTCTATATTTCTGCAAGATGTTACCCTTGGGGGACACTGGGTGAAGGGTAGAGGCGATCTCTGTATAATTTCTCACAACTGCATGTGAATCTATAATTACCTTAAACTCAAAAGACAGAAAAAAAAAAGAGTATGTGTGTGAGAGCCCAGCATTGGATCCTGCATACCACGGAAGCTCAATGAAGCATGATCTATGTTCTCTTTACACACTGGCCTTCCTCTTCCTCACAGTCCCTGGGGGGAAGTAAGGCGGAGGCTGGTGAAGAGGCAGAGGGAAGAGTTTTCTTTTTGCAGTGCAAATTTTCCAAAAAAAACATTTGAGGAAAGAGTCAATGGTCTCAAACCATCCTTACCCAGAGGCTGCGGCTGCAGGGTGCAAGGCATAAGGGCAGGACCTGGATTTAACTGTGGTCCTGCCACTGAGGTCTGCTTGATGGGGGCATAAAATTTCCTCAGAGAAAACCCCCCAGATGTGTTTTGACCAGGCAATGGTTTATTTAAAAGTAGAATTGGTTACCAACTTAAAAATGTTTGTGGATTTCTTATAAAGCCTGGTTCCTGTTATTCTTAAAACAACAAAAACCCTGTTCCTCTTCCCGTGCAGAGGGAGTAGTGTCGGCATCCTTTAGACGGGCCACGCTTATTTTACTTTTGAATTTAGACACCCGATCTAGATGGTACTGCAGGTCCCTTTCTCCTCTGGGCTTCTACTTAGTTTTCTTTTTAAATAGCTTTTGGCCTCGCTGGCCTGCCTTGTCTGCTCAGCGCTGGCTCAGAGGAGGTGGAGTCCCAGGTGTGCCTCACCTGTGGCCGCGTTGATGGTGGCCGGATTGCTCTCCTTGTCGTCCTTCACAGCAGAAACTCCAATCCCATACTCGGTTCCTGGCCTCAGACCTGAGAGAGAATGTGCAGGTTGAGACTCAGCCTGAAACTAGAAAGACTTTCAAAAGATGGTAAAAATGGCCTGATGTCCAGAATGTTTTGCTAGCTAACTCACTGCAGTCCCAGGGAGAGCAATTTCTGGAAAGTGGGCTTATTTCTCTCTGGAAGGTTGCAAAAAGGGACATGCGGGAGCAGGTGCCCACCCTTTGAGGGCCCCCTGGGGCCGGCTGGACCAGGTGCACAGAGCTCACCTGTGAGTGTGGTTCTCGTGGTGGCTTGTTGGCTCTTCGGGACGTCTACCTCGGCGTGGTCACCCCCAGAGATGGGTGCGTACTTAATTCTGTAATTGTCTATGGCCGCCTTGCCATTCCTCCATTCCAGGGTGATGCTGTTGTCTGTCTGGGAGACACGTCGGAGATTCCTGGGAGCATCCAGGCCTATTTGGAAGAAGAAGGAACATTTGCATTGAAAACACCAGGCACCAGGAGAGGAGTATTTGATAATTCAAACTGATATATGACAGGCACCTGCCTGTGGAGAGAAATAGCCCCCACACTTCTCTGTCTCCATAGCTGATGCACAAATCCAAACAATACTACAGATTTGGTACATTTCCCCATTATTGATGTGTGTGACACTTTAGTCATTTGTGTGTTTTTTTAAGACTTTGTGCTTATAGGACAACGAAAATACAAATAAGCTCATGAGAGTAAGAACTGGTCTATTGTGTTTTAGCACCGTATTTCTAATAATTCATATAGTGCTCATTGAGATCTGAAAAAATATTTACCGAATGAATGACTGATGCTTTGGTACATTTAAAATAATGCCATAGGCTAAGAGGTTAGGAGGCTTTCTTGTTATTAATATTTATATTTTCCATACACTGTATATTATTTTCAAAATATTTATTTGAATTTACTTTAACCAGAATTTTTGTCTGAGACTATCAGACCAACATCTTCTATGTATGCCCCCCCAAAAAGTACTTTAGAGGATTATTTTAGGTATTTTTTTCTTTGAAAAATTAATTGCTACAATATTTTAAAATGAAATTTAAAGCAGTGGGAATCCCCACTCCATTTTTCTTACTGTAAAATCAGCCTGGATGATACCCCAACATGGAATGGGATGAACTCTTTCAATCCTTTCTTTCCTGTGGCTGTTAACAGAAAGAGGCTTCTTACCTGTTGTGAAGGTCTCTTTAGCTGGGTTGCTCGACATGTCACCCCTGCGGGAGGTGAGGGACACCTCATACTCGGTGTCGGGCTTCAGGTTCCCGATGGAGTACTGGTTCTCGTCCTGTGTGAGATCGATGGTGGTGCGGTCGCCCGGCACATCTTTGATGCCATAGGAGAGCTCGATGCCGTCAATCTCAGCCAGGGGCTTGAACCAGGTGATTAAAGCGGTGGTGTCTGTGACATCCTTCGCCTCGATCTGGCTGGGGGCATCCAAGCCTGTGATGGGCGGAATACAGAGCAAGGTCAGAGGTCAGGACCGTGACAGGGGCTGAGCACAGAGAAGGCATTGCAGCCCTCCAGATCTGTGGACATATATTTAGGTGTACGCTGATCACTTGACTTTATTTTAACTCTTTGAGCTTCCATTTCCTGTTTGATAAGCTACAAGTGGGAATAATGGCAGGTATCCCTAGTGTTTCTATTTCTGGTTTTCAAATTAAAAGGAGATAAAGCTTGCAAAGCATCTAGCATAGAGCCTGGCACATGGCAGACACACAAAAAAGGATTGTTCTTTTATTATTATTATTATTACTGTTCTTGTAAGTTCAGGAAACATGCTTAAGGGCTACTTCATTTGTAAAAAATTGACTTAATCTCTCTGATTTTTTTAATTAGGCAAAACTTCCTGGATGGTGGACAACTTTCCCATCAGAATTATGAAGCAGAAAAGTGAGATAGAAGACTGTCTTGACAGTGTATGGAAAGTTATTTTTTGATGAAAAGAATTCAGGCAAGAACGTCACTGCTCTCTCAAGTGTTGCCTATCTGTATGCTCATCTTGGCTTTTCCTGCCCCGCCCACTCTTGCATTTTGTACCCTGACAGCATGCTGCTCAGGGCTCTGGGAGCTCACATGCTGTTTGTCACCACCTGGTCTCTGCACATGCTGCTCTCTCCTTTCTTCCCGAGATTGCCCCTTTCCCCTCTAAAAACCTCCTATTTATCCTTCAAAATCTCCCTAAGGAGAAGCCTTCTCTAACCCTGCTGCAACCAGGTAAACACATATTCCCTCCTTGTGACTGCCACTGTCCTTCAAGAGCCTTCTAACACTGCACCTTTCTCATTGTTCTGTAACAAATTTCTCTACAGTTTGAATCTATTTAAAGGGAGTCATTCATTCATTCACTCATTCAGAAAGTGGATCTTTGGCCTTTCTTAATCCCCAGCATAGAGACAGGCGAATCTTATGCATTCAGTAAATATTTCTTCTTCTTTTTTTAATAGTTAAGTGTATGTTTTCAGCATTGGTTCAGTAAACAGTATCAGATGAAAGGAACTTGGCTTTATGCAGGGAATGAGAAGGAGGAATAATTCATAGCTGATTGTGAGAAAGCTGCAGAGTCTGTCTTTTGAAGTCTAGGTGTTGCTGTATCAGTCTCAGCTCACAGATGATAAAAGTCGTAAAATGCACAATAAAAATTATGCTTTTCCAAATTACTTTAACAACTAAAGCACACATACAAAAACGATGCTACAAAAATTGACAGTGAAGCTGCCTGTCCTGCGTTCTTACAGCTGGTAGCAAGCATCCAAATCGTACCCACTACTTTCCTTAGCACCCTTTTCATCAAAGAAGTTTGGATGCAGTGAAGGACACAGACATCTCCCGGATCTGAGACCCTTGAGCAGCAGAAACTAATGTTGCTCTGTGCTTATCATGTGTCAGCAGAAACTAATGTTGCTCTGTGCTTATCATGTGTCAGCAGAAACTAATGTTGCTCTGTGCTTATCATGTGTCAAGCATGGAGCTTATGACAACACCACAAGCAGGACACTGTAAACCCATTTTCCAGATGTTGGATCTGAGGCTTAAAGAAATGGACTTTTCCGAGGTGACGGTGAATGGTGAAGATGGAATTCACACTCAGAACTGATTGGATCCAAAGCCATGCTCTTCCCCCTTTACATGACAATGCCTTTCAAACAAATTCTCGTGTCCAAAATAGATACAATACAACCTCTGTATAGACAGGGAGAAGGAGCCAAAGGTATTTTGCAGTGGAAGTTTTAAGGCCCTTTAAACCTGAAAAAAATTCAGGTATATCAGCAAAATAAACAGGTAAATATCTGTCCCTTAATGTTGGTATTTATGTGATTACGAAACCTCAAATGTTGGGATGTTTGACTTGAAATAAAAAGAAAATAAAACAGCCAATCCCAAAATTTTGATTAAAAAGAAAAGGTCAGGTGAAAAGAAATGCCTTTTGTATTTTCGATGTGCCTTCTCGAGAGCAAATAGCTTTTGCTTGATCTTTTCTGTGCCTTTCTGGTGAGCTAATGATTTTTTTCCTGTCCGTACATGCCTTCTACCTACCACAGAGAGCTGTAAAGATGATGGAAAACACTTGCTTATGAAGGAGAAAATCCTATAAATTGGCTCTTAGCTAAGGCAAAATGTGCAAATATTTAAATGTAAGATGTTCTTTCTTGCCGTTAGTCAACAGATTTAACTTTTCCAACAACCCCCTGCCAAGAAAAGTCAATTCCTTAAAGAGTTGGCAGATATGTTATCATGAAGAAAATAAAGAGGTTTTCCTATATGGCAATGCAAAATTATTTTCTTTCTTTCTTTCTTTTTTTTCTTTTTAAAAATTTCCTTCCTGGAAGAACACCTCCAAATTCAGATGTTTTTCCCATGCAATGATCTAGTAGCGCTAAATCCTATTCTACCCCAAGAAGTTCTGACATTATTGAGTGAAATTTTATTTAGGTTCCTGTTAAAAATATGGAATCAACATTCTGCACAAACCAGAGCCTCTTCAATGCTAGTGGTAAAAGGGTTAAAGGTATTGAACTTACCCAGGCTTAAAGTTGTGACCCTCATAATATTAACTATGTGATGTGAGTTAAAGTGATTTAGCTTCTCTATGCCTTCGTTTCTACTCTCGAAATATAATAACATTAATATTTGCCCTGCCTTTGTCATAAAACCAGGTGCTAAATAGTAAGTTAGATGATGTGGTAGATTATAATGGACTCAGTTATTTATCTTCCTGCATCCATGTCCCTGTGAAATGTGACTTTGAAACTCCCTTCATCAAGAGACGGATGTTTCTCTATCCCTTAAATATAAACTGGCCTTGGGCTTTGCTTTGGCAGAAATGATCTAATGCCAGTTAGGAGCCTGTTCAACAGCTATGTGAACAAGCCCAGGCCAGCAGAAAGGCACCATCCCGGCTGAGACCACCCTAGGCCAACCAGCCCCTCGACCACACAGATGCAAGAGTGAGCCCCGTCAAGAACAGACAACTTGCTGAACCCAGCCCAACTCCAAATCACCAACTGCAGAACTGTTATTTTAAGCCACTGCCTTTGGGCTTTCTTTAAATGTAGTAAAGCGAAATGATGCAGGTGCTATATAAGAAAGCACTTTTCAACCCAGTGCTATGAGGTACAACCAACTTTATCATTGTACTAACTTTATCATAGTACATTTTACATTGTACTATCATTGGCATTAAAGGTGATACTCACGGGTGGTGGTCACCCTCTTCAGGCCAGGGCCCCGAGTATTGTTTTTCACGATGTGCAGAGATATCTCGTACTCTTGCCCTGGAGCTAGACCGGTTTGCCGGTAAGAGGTCTCTGGTCTCCTGAGGCTTTTGGTGATCTCTCCCTCATCTTCTTTATTCTGAAAGATAGAAGCAGCTTGGTGAGCTTTAGAGGAGGTGCCAGTCTCTGTATTTATGTGATTCATTCATTCTGCATTAGTTTGTTTCTCTTATTCTTTCATCTATTCATAAAGCACTCACTATGCACACATCAGTACGTCTGAGAATACAGAGATAATAAAGACGTTTCTCAAGTTCATTTCTGCCTCTCGCGAAGCTCTCTTCACCCCTTCAACATATAAGTCAAATGACAGAATGTGAGAGGCCAAAGGGATTCTTAAGCCACAGGCTCAACCTCTCCTCTGACAGACTGAGGCCTACATCAGAGAAGTAGGGTGATTTTTCTATAGTCACACAGCTCATTAAGTGGCAGAGCCTGGCTTAAATTCAGAAACGAGGATCCAGGCCTGGAGAGAGGAGTTGCTCAAGTCAGAGATGCCTGGAGGCATTTTGAGGGAGGGATCACTTCTTCTTCTCTTCTTTTCCTCCAAGTAGAGATTTGCAAGACATTGAGTGGCAATCAGAGCCTGGAGATGACTTAACTTCTCTTCACCTAGGCTCTCAGTCCTGAGTGCTGAACTTACCCACTTATTAAAATCACGGGAAAACCAACATCACTTAAAATATAGATGCAATCACACAAGGTGCTCATTAGAGTCTGTCCTCCACCAAAGCTAAGGAAATTGAGTGGATATAAAAGTCTGCAGAACGCTTTGACCATCTTTCAGGTCCTCAAGGTCTAATACCCCTGCTCTGTTGTGCTCCTTACCATATTCCGGAAAATAATCTCCCACGTTTCAAAAGCAATGTCCAGAGGATCCCACTCCACTTCCACAGATGTCTCCTTGATGGACTTGAATTTTAGGCCTCCGGGTGCAGGTAAGTCTGTAAGGAACAGCACAAAGAAGACGTAAGGATGGGGCAGTGTGTGGTGGGGGCAGCACAGCCAGGATTCCACTACACCCTAAGTGGACGCCTGCCATGGTCAGGGGCTGACAGCCAGAGCTGGAGTGGATTGCAAGTTTCTTTGGGATGCAGTCTGCTGAGAGGCATTACGAAAATTAACGTTAGGAAGAAACATGATGTGATATTGGCAATTTCATATGGTTAAACCAAGAATAAGCACAGGCTTTGGAATCAGACAGAGTTGGGCTAGAATCTAAGCTCTACCATTATTAACAACGTGACCTTGGGCACGTTGCACAATATGTCCTGAGCCTCAGTTACTTCACCTGGGAGAAGGAGGTGTATAAATATGCCTGTTCCTTGGGAATGCACTGAGGGTTGAATGGTATATTCCCTGTAGATGCCAGGCCTGGTTCCTGGCATGTAGCACAAGTTCAATAAATGGCATCCAGTGTAATTACAACTAAGCAAGAAAGGGCCAAATTCTAGCCACAGCTTGATTTTCAGGCATGGAGGTAATTATACTGATGCTAAATTCATAAAGGAATAACTTGAATCCTAGTGTTTCCACTTAAAAAAAAAAAATAGACAATGAGCTCCATTGAAAGGTGGTAGAGTGGCTAAGAGTGTAAGTCTGCCAGGACTGCCAGGGTTCAAGTCTCACCTCTAACACTTGTTAGTTGTGTGGTTTGGGATGAGATGCTTAACCATTCAGAGTCTCAGTTTCCTCATCTGTAAAATGGGCTTAATAATAGCTTCTGTCCCACAGGGTTAAATGAGTTAGTCTGTGTAGAGTGATTAAGACAAAGTCTGGTGCATAGTAAACACTTGTTAAGCATTATCTGTAATGATTCTCTCTGGCAGGAAGGATATAGGAGGACAAGGAGGGAGAATTTATATTAATAGAAAATGAGGAATTTCTTTAAGAAACTGTTCAGTGGACTTAACTGGTTTCTGGCTTCTTAATTGGTATAACTAAAAAGAACAACTGTAAGGTGGTGGGGGCCAAGGCAGGGGGCTTATGCACCGGTGGGCTGAGGGCAGGTGAGGCTGCCCGGAAGATCTCTGCTCACTCACACGTGGCCACCCTGGCACTGACGGGAATGCTCTTCTTGTTCTCTAAGATGGCAAACACCCGGATAAAGTACTCCACACCCGGCTCCAGCTCCCGGATGGTGGTGGACGTCTGGTCCCCGGGCACGCGGAACTGCATTTCCAAGCCGTCTGCGTGGGTAGGCGTGTATATAACCAGGTACTCTGTGACCCGCATCTCATTGTCCCAGGCCAGGTTGACGGTCTCTTCTGTCACTTCTGTCACGACGAGGTCTTTGGGAGGTGACACTGGCAAGGATAAGAGAGGACATCTGGGGTCAGTGACGTGCCCTATAGAAATCCCTCTAGGTTTGTTTCCCTTGACCTGTCTCTTCCACTGTCGGCAACAGAGGTCTGAAGTTCTCCCCTTGAAATCCATAGTCTCTAAATTGTAGAGGACCCCCTGCTGTGTCCCTCTTTAGGACCTGTGGGGGCTGTCCGCTAGTCCATCACCTTTGGGCTGATGTCCCGGGTCAGCAAAGTGGCCTTCACTGTTCTGGCTCTTTCTATTTCTCCACGCCCTGGGTCTTCGTTCAGATTCAGGTCACTGGCATGAGAAAGTGCAGTCTGAGCTTGACTCCCAGCTCTGAACTTTCAGTTACACATCCTTAGCACTGGAAGGGTGTTCTGGGCTCATCTGGTCCAACTCTTTCATTTTCTAGATGGGAATGAGGCAGAGGCACTTGCCCAAGTTTGCTTACCTCGTCAGGTTCAGAACTCATATGTCCTCCCTGCTATGCTGGTCGTCTTTCCAGCTGGGCTTTCCTGCCTTGGCCATGTTAAACATGGATCCTTTTATTTATTCCTAGCTACCAATAGCTTTAATCAAGGCAGAAATTCTCCATTATTACAATTATAACACGGGTGGATGAGAGTAGTACAAAGAGGACTCTCATTCAACGTGAGTATCATTGTTCTTTGTTGTGTTTTCATTTAACCAGCATTTAGTGTGCACTTACTATATACTAGTGTTTAGTGTGCACTTACTATATACTTACTACATACTAGGCCCTGTGCTAACTGCTGGAAACAGTGCTTCTTCAGGGAAGCTTACAGTCCTTGGGATAAAAAATAGTAACGAAAGACAATTAAGAGACAGGTCTACCCTGTGGATGTTAGGCATTTAGTCTTTAGCATTTAAAACAGTTGGTTTTATGTAATGTCACCATCTGTTCGATTCAGTTGAATTTTTACTTCCATCCAAAAAGAGAGATTTTGTTTAGTATTGGTTTGAGGTCAGTGGAGAGTAGGAAAGGAGGTTGATATTTAGCAAATGGGAGGTTATCCCTTAATCTACCACATCTTGGGTTCTGGATGTTAAACTCGGTGTGGATGAGTTAGGCAGACTCAAATACCAGCTATGTGATGGACTGACTGTGTGTCCCTGGGACAATTACATAACCTCTCTGAGCAGGTAGCCCTGTAATAACTGAATGACCAGGGCCCCCTCAAAGAGCCAGCATGTGTGTGTGCTTAATATAAACACATTTATACATATAAAGAATGAGAATCAAAGAGTCGGCACGTGTTTGTAAATACACGCACAGCTCTGCAACAAATACTAGGTGTCCACCCAACCGCGGCTGTGGTCACCCTGGCCTGCGCACCAGCACTCACCCTGCGAGCAGTCTTCCCCGGTGTGGCCCTCGCTGCAGATGCAGCGGCCCGAGACGCACTGCCCCCAGTCACTGCAGTCGTTGGGGCAGGAGCGCTGCCCACAGTCCAGGCCCGTGAAGCCCTCGTGGCAGATGCACTGGCCATCCTCGCAGCGCCCCTGGCCATGACAGTCACCGGGACACCTCTGCTCCTTGCAGTCTTTGCCCATGAAGCCTTCGTTGCACACGCACTGCCCATTCACGCAGCGGCCCCGGCCGTGGCAGTCACTCGGACAGGACAGTTCAGAGCAGTCGGGACCAGCAAAGCCGTCCTCACACACGCACTGCCCGTCCACGCAGCGGCCCCGGTTGCTGCAGTCCCGGGGACATCGGCGATCCCGGCAGTCTTCCCCCATGTAGCCGTCATCACAGACGCACATGCCGTTCACGCAGCGGCCGTGCTGGTGACAGTCATTAGGGCAGCTCATGTCACTGCAGTCGTAGCCCTTGAAGCCTTGCTCGCACACACACTTGCCCTGGACGCAGCGGCCCCGGTTGTGACAGTCACTGGGGCACCGCAGCTGGCTGCAGTCCTCCCCAGTGTAGCCCTCATCACACACGCACTGCCCGTTGATGCAGCGGCCGTGGCCGCTGCAGCCGTTGGGACACTTGAGCTCCCCGCAGTCAGCTCCCGTGAAGCCGTCGTCACACTCACAGCGCCCGTCCACGCAGCGGCCGCGGTTGTGACAGTCGGCAGGGCACCTCTTCTCACTGCAATCCACGCCGGCAAAGCCCTCATCACACACGCACTGCCCCTCCTCGCACCGGCCCTGGCCGTGGCAGGCGTGCGGGCAGGTGAGTTTGCTGCAGTCCTCGCCCGTGAAGCCCTCTTCGCAGTAGCAGGTGCCGTTGACGCAGCGGCCCCGGTCGAAGCAATCGTTGGGGCAGATGAGCTCACTACAGTCTTCGCCCGTGAAGCCCTCGTCGCAAACACACTCGTTCTCCACGCACCGCCCGCGGTTGTAGCAGTTGTTGAGGCACAGGGGCTCACTGCAGTCGTCACCGGCAAAGCCTTCCTGGCACACGCACCGGCCGTCCACACACGTGCCGTGCTCCTCACTGCAGGGCACGGGGCAGATCTCCTGGCTGCAGTCAGCTCCCGAGTAGCCCTCGAAACAGATGCACACCCCGTTCATGCACTTGCCCTGGTCATTGCAGTCGCCGGGGCAGGCCAGCTGGCTGCAGTCCTCACCAGTGAAGCCCTCGTCGCAGACACACTGCCCGTCCATGCACTGGCCGTGAAGGTGACAGTTGCCTGGGCACTCCGGCTCAGAGCAGTTGGGGCCTTTCCAGCCAGGTTCACAAACACAGCCGCATCCTTCAGTGCTGAAGTTGCCCCGGCCACTGCAGAAGGGCCTGGTGTCCAGGCGGCCTGCAACAAAGAGAGCAGAAGCTTTCAGCTGGGCTCGAGCAGCCGAGTTTCTTGGAGATGCCCAGATTCAAACCAGCCAGAGGGTGGTTGCATCCTCAGGCTCCATCTGGCTGGAAACCAGTGTTCAGTGTGTAAAATCAGATGGGACTCACATCCAACTGCATCAGGTAGGAAATCTTAACCTGTGTTCCCCCAAATTACAGACTTGCAGGCAAAGTTAGTGTGTGTATATGTATGTAGGAGTGTGCATACGTGCATGTGCCCATGAGTGCATGCGTGTGTGTGTATTTCTGTCCCTGGGGAGAGGATCCACAGTTTTTATTGCATTTGCAAGAAGTCCCACGATTCCAGTATGAGTCACCGCCTAGTGGAAATGCATGACTGGGCTGTGTTGCTACTTCTCCAGTGCCGAGTCAAGGTCAGCACGTAAGAGATGCCCAAGAAAGAGTTTTTGAACTCAACTTAATTCTGACTCTTTAAGGTCAATAGCTGTGCCACATTTGGGAAGGGATTTAGACCCTCTAGCGCTCAGTTCCTCATAGCCCACTTCCCTGGGGTTCCGTCAGAGTTAAATGAAAACATTAAGAGCTCACTCTTGTGCTTGGTGTTGTTGTCTTTGTCTTCTCTCCCAAAGTTTATTTTGGGTGGACTCAAGTTGGTATGTGGGTTTACGTGACCAAAACATTCTAATTTTCCATAACTGAAATGAGGCAGCTAGGGAGTGGCTTTCTAATTTTATCAGTACACCTTTTAGTTTGGCTTTGTCCCCAGAAAACCCTCGTGCCTCTCTCTTTTGTCCCTCCCTATCCTGAAGGCTGAGTGGTGGTCGAGCTGGGAAATCTGAGGCCAGGACTGACATCGCCCCACACTTTGAGACCTAACTATTGTCTCTGCTGGACTTGCAAGAGTCACTAGTCTGATCTCCATGGAGCCTAATGGGAAGAAACTGAAGTTACCTCTATGTTCTCTGTACCTAGGTACAGTTGTGCAAATATTAATATATTTTATTTCCTTCCTGATTTCCTTCCTGACAGCAGAAAGGAAGGAAACTTAAAAAAAAAAAAAAGAGTTGGTTTGAAAAGTGAGAATCTAAATTTGTGCTGTCCAGTATAATAACCAAGGGCCACATGTGGCTGTTAAGCATTCAGTTGTGGCCAGTATGAATTGAGATGTGCTATAAGTACAAAATACACACTGGATTTCAAAGACTTAGTACAAAGGAACAGAGTGTAAAGTATCCATTAATAATTTTTATATTGATTCCAGGCTGAAAAACTGATATTTTGGCTATATTGAATTAAATAAAATAGATGATTACAATTATTTTTACCTGTTTCTTTTCCCTTTTTTTGATAGGACTACTAGAAAATTTAAGATTGCATATTTGGCTCACCTTATATTTTCACTGGACAGCACTATTCTAAACGATTATTTTAACTTGCTATGTAGCATTAATCCTACTCTGTATTCTCATCTGCATTTTGCCAGGGAGTGACAGAAGTAGAAGGCAAACTAAATTATGCATAAAGAAAACTTTAAAAAAATATTGCCTTAGAAACCTAGAGCATGCCCTGTAGAACCATAAGAGTAGTTGACTTAGGGTGGTTCCAAGTACTTTTTGGTAATTTTTTTTTATGAGTGGCAAACGACATAGATTTTCATCTCTGATTTGAAGTTGTTGAAACTCCCGTGGCTCTATCGACTTTAGAGAATGGAGACGATGTAATTCCACAAGATGGGATGCCCACGGGGATGGGGCCCCAGGTGGGAGAGTACGAGCTCTGGAGACACCCAGGCACATTCACAGCCCCTGTCTCTTATTACTCTTTGTGTCATCTTGTACCAGTTGGTGAACTTCCTGGAGTCTCAGTTCTTAGATCTGCAGGAGAGAGAGCTAAACCTTATCTTACAGGGTTGTTGGGAGAATTAAATGAGATAATAATCACAATACCTGGTACACCGAGGGGGCTTGGTTCATGAATGTGATCATCCTCCTCACTGCTAAATTGGAACATTTTCCCCAATTCTCATAGCCTCAGCACTACCACAGACAGCACTGTGCATTTGTAAGAACACTGGGGTGTGAGTAATTCAGACACTCATTTCAGGACCTTGAGGAACCCCATCTTCCTCCTGGGCCTCAGTTTCCCTATTTACTCCTCCAGCCCCAATT